CAAACTGATTCATGAGCATGTGCTCCCCCCGTAATTTTCATTTTACCTTCTTTCTTGTCTTTTGGAACAAAAGCCACTACTTCCTTTCTCCTGTTATGAGTGGGTAAGAAATCAGGCTTGAATACTCCAATTTTGCACTTTATTGCATTTGTAAAAGGAAATGAGTGCATGAGGATACTGTTATCTCCTAGAAGGCTCCACAGTACTGGAAATTTCAGCAAGAACAGCAGTGTTAGCACTCCCTTCCTTTCATCTTGGCAGTTTGCAGTCCAGGGACTCTCTTCAGGCTCAGAAGGTCTTCAGCCACTTGCTGTGGTTTTGTTGCTTTACAGAGAGGCTCGTGGACTCTGCCTCTTGTTAGTTCCCATGTTGTGAAGCCTTTAGCTGTCTGCTGAAGGGAAAGTTCACTGCAGAGATGTCAGGATTCGGTGGTTTGTGTATAAATTTGCAAAAATGCAAATGAATAGAGTGTAGACTATTTTGATCTCTAAATTCTGAAGAGGTTTCTAAACTAAGATATCTATCTATCTATCTTTGTCTATATATAGATATATGTGATTACTGTGGTGAGTCAGGATATGTTTTTTCAAGTTCTTTCGGCTGCTGGGGTTATTCTTAAGACAGTCTGTAATCCAGCAGAGGTTTATAACGTCCATTTGGTCTCTTATTCTCTGCCAAAGCAGCAGAGCCTGAACTGTACATGACAGATCTGTCAAGACTAAAAGAGACATGGTAAAGTATTCTTAGGCTTGTATCTCATTGCCTTGCTATTCCTGGAGGTTATTGCTGTGAATAATGATGGAGCCAAACACACACCTCCTTGTTCTTACTGCAGGTCAGTCTTCAGCTCACGTGACTTTTGCTCCGTTCTATTCTTTGGAGTAGATAATTATTAGCACAAATGTTGTTCTTTGTCTATGAGACATGCAACAGGAGAATACCTAGCACAATGGCTGCTGACATCCAAAGAAAAAGGGTTTCCAGAGACAATCTGTACATGCTGCTCGTGGGCCCTAGCACTTAGTTACATGGCATTTGGCCAAAGACAACTTTATTAAGCAAAGCCTGTCATGATGTACTGTTATATGGTATTTGTGGCCCATATCATAACTTCTCTATCTCTGGTGACAAATGGGCTACATCCCCCCCAACTGTGTTTTCTAGAACAGACAGATTTTGGCTGCCTGTACACACAGGCCAGGGCAGCTGGAGATGGAGGAAGCTCACAGGTGTCAGTCAGCACAAGCTGGCAGAGGCTAAAGCAACTGTTCTCTTTTCAGCTTCTCATTGTGGATGGTCAGGAGCTGAGACACAACCCTGCCTCTGTAATGGACAACATCCAGAAGTTCTTGGGAGTTACACCGCTCTTCAACTACACCCAGGCCCTCAGGTAGGGAAATAACTCCATTTTGGGAGGATGCTTTCTCAGCCATGAAGCCCGTGATTGAAAGAATACTTTTTGTCTCTGATCTCAAGATCTGCCAAGATTTCACAGCTATGCCTAACCCTAAAATTAGATTCAGATAGCATGAGATGCTTTGTGGAGACTGGAATCACACCTTGGTGTTTCCTGAAATTATAGGGGAAGGACAAGGTTCGGACACTGTCATGGAGAAGAATGCAGTTGTTCACAGGAGTAGCTATGATGTTTTTTTCCATTTGGTGTTTGTATTTTAGAAAAGGTGCTGGAATTATTAGCACTCCTTATGCTTTCTGCTATACCTGTATCTGAAAAAAGTAGAGGAGGTATGATAAAAAATGTGTGACAATCTGCTCATATCTTCACCCAGATGGAGATTAGGGCCAGACTGCACAGTTTTGAGGTAAAGAGCCTGTTATTAAGAGATGATATGGATTTGACAGGTGCCTAGAGCTGTCTGAGGGAGCATTAGCAGAGGCACCACCTCCCTGCTACACTTAAAGGATGTTACTGAGCTGTGGCTGTGATCTTGCCCACACTGCATGTACAGTTAATGTGAATAGATAAGTGCTGCTGAAGGTGTACTGTGGCCATACCAGTGTATAGTGGAAACTCTGCAAGCCCACTGAAGATGCTGAATATTGTTTTTTGCAGCTGAAACCTGTTTTCATATCTTCTCTGCTGTCACAGCCTATACCAGCATGCATGTAGACACAGAACAGTTGCCCTTTCCTTTCACAGTAAAGAAAGTAAAGTAATTCAGTTCTCCCCCTACAGCTGTTTCCAAAGGGGTAGCACACAGCTCCTCAGGGAGGAACAGATTTAGAGAAATGTCAGGTTACTTGAAAGCGTCATTTACTGCGGCACACGTGCTGATGGTGAATGGAGTATCTGCAGTAGAGGTACTGCTGGTACCCCTCAGCCAGGGTCAGAAAATAAATGGGATTTGTCAGCTTGCCTCCAGTTTCTTCAGGGGACTTGCTCAAACCTCAAGCTCACCTCTGGCCAGCTGAAGTGACAGACCAGGCCAGATCTAGACACGGTTCCCAGCATTGCCTCATGTCTGTTTTAGCAAGAAAAGAAACACTTGACTCTTTATAAACAGTCAGGGGATTCTCTAATACTCAGCTATAGGGAGGAGATTTAAAAGAATTTACAAACACCAAAAAACTGATTATCATCTTTCCCCCCAGCTGAACAGACAAATTGTGTAACCATGTTACATCTGAAATTTGCACAAAGCTGAAACTGTCATGTTTGTAATAGATTTCTTGTCAAAGTAGTCCAGTGTTAAAAATTCCAAGGAACCAATATCACAAAATAAATAGGTAAAGCACTGAAATAGGAAATAACTATGGAGTTACTTAATTTCTGCTGCTGCTAATTTGATATGTGGCTGTATCTTTCAAAGATAAATGTCTTTTTCAGATTTGATGAAGCAAAAGGATTTTGGTGCCAGCTGCTAGATGGAGGAAAGACTAAATGCCTAGGAAAGAGCAAAGGAAGGAAATACCCTGATATGGATTCCTTGGTGAGTAGCTGTCTCAAATCTCTTGGCAACAAGAGAAGTAGAAACAGCAAACCCTCATGGATTTTCCTACCATCTGTCCTGGATGACCTGTGGAGCATGTGTTGAGGGTAACATCTTTCAAGCTCATGTGGTCTGTTTTTTCCACACAGTCACGGCTCTTTCTAAGAGACTTCTACCGGGAGCACAACATTGAATTATCCAAGCTGATGAACAGGCTGGGGCAGCCCCTTCCAACCTGGCTCCGAGAGGAACTGCAAAACTCCAGCTGGAGCTGAGAGGGACTCCCCAGCCCCCAGTGCCATTGGGATGTGTGGTGCTCCAACGTGTGCTATGATGCCATCTCCTGTCAAGCCAAAACAACTGGACAAAGGAGCAGAGAATGTGCATGTGGAGTCTTGCCCCACCCTTGGAAAGGGCTGCTGCCCTGACACTGCCTTGGGGCATAGAGTGCAGGTCACATTCTTGAGTATTAATGGTGTGCTACTACAGTTCAACTTTTACTTACAGGAAGGATTTGAAATGCCTGCCCTACTTAGAGCAGGGCAGAAAGCAGAGTTAACACTTTGTGTATTTTTAAATTACTTTTCTCAGTCTATGAAACAGGCACAAGCTGGAATTAATGTATTACTTCTCTGAGCCCAGAAGTAAAGGCTGAAGAGGGGAGACAATTGAGCCCACTGCTGAGAAAAGAGCAGCAGCCTAATAAAAGGGGAATCTAGTGCAGTGAAGCCAAGCTGTTATCCGTAATCTATCTGGCACAGTGAGGCCCAAGAACGCCTTGTTCCTGCCCGTGCCCATTGCTTACAGTGCCCCTGCGTGGGGATGGTGGGCACTGCGGGGACAGGGAGGGACAGGTAACCTTGCCTCTCCTCTGCAGTGCCTGGGGTGTGATACAGTGTCTGGTGACTCTGGTCAATGAATTGCTTTGTTACCTTAGAGAAAAGATTTGCCACATGTGGCAAGTATTTTCCTGCAGGGACTAAAGACATTTCAAAACATAACGAAGGAGCAGTAATGTCCCTGTAGAGCACTTGGGAAGTGTGTGTAAGTGCAGCAGAGCAGCAGGGGGTGGGGGGGAGGCAAAGCTCAGGTATTGTAAAATAAGGCTGATGTTGCAGCTGAAAGTAGGCAATTCAGTTCCCCCTAAATGATCAGCTTAAAAAAAAATCCAACAGTTCCAGCACCCCTACCACACAGTCCAGTTGCTAGCACTGTTTAAATGTTCTTGCACGCCAACAGTCCAAGGAGAAAAGGAAAAAAAAACCCAGTTAAAAGTATTGTTCAGCTATAAAGGGATGGCTTTGCACCAGAAGTGGTTTCCTGCGCCTAAAAGGGGTTTCTGCATATGGTAAAGTAAGTACACTAAGGTACTTTGTCTCCTCCTGCAGCTGCTGGATAATTATTCTCAGAGGAAATCCTCCATCTTGGTTGTATATATTTTCTTTGACCCCTCCTTCCCAGGCACAGGTGGTCCTTGGACGGTGCTGCAGAGGGGCAGGATCCACATGAAGTTATGGAAACTTCCACAACTGTCACAAGCCACTTCTCTCTCATCCAGAGAGAAGTTGCTTCAACTGAGCTTTTCCATTGAGCCTTAGGTATTGTGTATTTCAGAATGAATGGTGCATTTACCATTGTATGTAAATGTATATAGTATGCAATATAGTATTTTATTTCATGTGCCCTTGGAAAGGGTTATTTTGTGCAGCCAAAAAACGGATGGAAAGACTAGAAACCCCTCTCTCATTCCCATTAAGAGAGAAAAGCCTAACTTCCTGCACTTGATTCATGTATAGCATCATTCACATTGAATGATAATGAAGAAATTCTTGGCTCTCGAAACTGAGCACATGTGTCTCAATAAAGTCTAGAAGTAGTAGTAAGTGGAGATTCAATAAATGTACTACTTATTTTTCTTCTTTGTGATGATTTGGAGTGGTGTCATGGCCCCTGCGCTGCTACTAGGGTAAGAAAAACTGGAAATCCTCCTCCAGGCCTTCGAGCTGGTATTTGGAAAGGCAACAATGGTGTTTCACTTACATTTGAAACAAGGCAGAAGCAGTGTGCTACAGCTTGCAGCCAGCCTGGAGTTTGAGATTCATTCTCACTGGTTTGCAACAGCGATGACTTTGGGGCCATTCTTGGCTATTGCAGTTGTTTCCAGCTGCTGTGCCTGCCATAGCAGAGCTTGGCTCTGTCCCTCATGTCCAGGTGTGCCTGGCACAGCAGTCCTTACAGTAAAAACTGGAAGGAAAACATTGTTTGAGTAGTCATGCTTGTGAAAGCATTGTAAAACAGTCCTACAGCTCTCCCTCCACCAGACGCTTCACAAATAACCCTGGCAGCAGCAAGGCATTTTCACATGCTGCCACAGGAGGTGGAGGATCCCAGGATTAATGATTGTGCTGCTCCCTTGAATGTTTTCCTGCTCTTAATTCATGATAGATCGTCACACAATCACTTCATGCTTTACCTCAGACTATGGTACATCTTTGAGGAGAGGCCCAGTAAAAATAAATGTGGTGTGAGGAATAAATGTTGGGAGGGGCTCAGTAAGTCAGTGTTACTTTACTGGTAATAGTTTGTCACTCAAGGCAGCAAATGGCAACTGTGGAGTCTCATTAGTTCTTCCCTCCCCTGGTTGCTTAATTTCTGGACTGCACTAGTTCTTACTGCTTATGCTAATGACAAACAAAGCACCTGCTATGGACAGCTCCAAATACAGGATGTCCTTACCTGATGAAGAGCTGTTTTCAAAGCTACCTTTCTCTGACAGCACATGGATGCAGAAGCTACCTGTGTTCCAGTCATCTCTTCAAAGCTGTGGAACCAAACACTGCCTCCTAAGAGAAGCATGTATAATATCAGAAGCTCTGTGATATCAAAAAGCCACCAACCCCCATCTTTTTTTAGGGAGAGACACTGGGTGCTAGGTACTGACCCATTTGGCACTAAAATATTCCAGATCCTCACACTTCCAGAGTAGAAACAAACCTCACCTTCTTGCCTCACTGCTGTGTAGCAGAAGTTCATGGTAACCAGTTCACTTCTAAGACAAAGGAAAATGATAAGCACAAAACAGGACCGTAAGAGGTTTTTTTTGGTAATGTATTTAAAAAAAACTTCTTTAGTCTCATGCAACTCCCATTTAAAAAGGAGTCATTTGACCCAGGAATCAGAAGGCCATGTGATTCTTATAGCCAGGTGCATGAAAGGTGAAAACTGGCAAAACAACAATAGGACTCTCTTTGTAGCTTGTGCTTGTAAACCACCTCAGGAATTCATTTAGGAAGATACTTAAAAGTTGTCTGCTGCCTCTTTCTAGTCAGCACAACATTCAGGGAACACTGGCATGAAATCTCAACTATAGGATGAAGACCTCCTAAGGGAACTGAATAATTTCTCTCTAGGTGGCAGCATGTATCACTTCTACACAAAAAGCTGATGACTGAAAATTGCAATTTTCATTGGATGACAGCACTGCAAAGACAAATATTCCTGACAGAAACCTGCAGCTCCTGGAAGTCAGAATAACACACAGAAATCTAACAAGCCACTTGATCAACCTCACCCTGATGTTTTTCAGCTCTTACACTCGTTGGAAAGAAAATCCTTTGATTCCTTGCTGATCGTTTTGCTGTATCAGTAGTAACATGGCCAGAAAAGTAATGATAAACAGGTCCAAACGTGCCAAATGAATCAAACAATGCTGATCCTGAGGGACTCCTGGCTGACATGGTGCAACTGCACACAAGACACCACCACAGTGACAGCCAACACATAAAAGTGTTTTCAGGCTGCCTGAGTACAGGACTCCATCCCCCATCACACAGCAGAACACAGATAGAACACTGGTCCCTTCTCTCCATTTATCAGTTTGCTTGTTCCTTTTTTCTTAAAGGCTTGTGGGGGTTAAAAACCACAACAAACCAAGTAATATTCACTTCTGAAACACTCAGCAGGCTGTTTTGCTACAAAAAGTATTCCTGACACTCATCTCCACTAGTCTATGTAGAAATAATCTGTTTTTAGCTTTAAAATGTGGCTTTCTTCCAAGACTTGGTCATTCACCTTTCTCATCTCCATAGCTTTGTCAGCTCTCACATCTCTCCACAATGCTTGTAAACCAGCAGGTCCATAGTGGTGACACCATTGCAGCAATCAGAATCCAGCTCGTGGTTATGTCACTTACAGTGACAGGATCATGAATCAGGCTGGGCCATAACCCCACAGGTCACTGGAAAAGGTGCTCTTCAGGACTTACAGATAAAAATTCTTGGCCGACTTAAATGAGGCAATGTAAGAAGGACATGGAAGGAAATGTCAGGGACCCAGTCCCTGTTCACAGTGCATGCTACGTACATATACCAGATATGTACTAGATTCAATGCATTTCCACCATTTTCCCCTTAAAACTCACAACTCCTTCATGGCAAAAAAAGGAATTTTGCAGTGCAGCCTGGACAGCACTGAGTAGTTATGAATACTGTAACTGGGAGCACACAATGCCCTCAAGATAAAAAGTCACTTGTTTACAGAGTACAATCAGTCTTTACAAGAAGCAGAAACACTATTCAGTAATGGCAGCTCCTGACAGCACACACACTTCATCTGCATGGTGCCCTCAGGGAGAGCACTCACTAGTCCTCAGCTCAAATGAAAACCCTCACCCAGAACAGCCCCACCTGCACTTCCAGCTTCCACAAATTAATGCTACTTTGGGAGAGGTGTGTCCACCATCCTGCCCCAAGTGCAAATACTCTTAAAATGGAAACAGGAAGCAGAAATGAGTTCAAAAGCCACATTTGAATTATTCTGGGGGCAAGGAGATAGTGAGGGGGAAAAATAAAAACAAACAAAAAAAACACCAACCAAAAGACCCTGCCTTCACCATAATCATGGTCAATGGCACTTAAATTCAGGCACAGAAAGAGAAAACACAAAATATTTTAAATAAACTGTAGTTGAAAGCCATTTGGTCTATGGCTTCAAAGGGTTTAAAAGAAAACTCCTATGCAGTCATGGTGAGCAAATGCTGAGAAGTCCTGATGGCCCAACCTTTTACTTTCTGCACCTCAGTTCAAAAAAAAAAAAAAAGGGAAAAAGAAAAAAAAGAGAAAAAAAAGTCAGTGGTAGCAGACTACTGTAAGAACATATCTCTTTTGGCACATCCTTTTCCCAGTCACATCCTGAAAAATTCATTTTTATATGCTGCCCATCTCTTAATATCTAGGTAAGAAAACTACAACTTTTCTGCCTCATAGAAAACTATTCTAAATTTATGCCATGTTGTTACAGCTGACAACTTTGACCAAGAGGTGGTGAAGAACTTCATTGGTACTTCAATGCTTACCCCATTTCCACTGACTGAGGTTTCCAAGGTTCCACAGAGCACTCCAGCACTGTGTAGCAATAGCCAAGCTGCTGCTAAATAAGGTGGGAAAGTGAAAGCTGTATTGTGCTCCAAAATACCACAGTTCCAGGCTTGATAAAAAACACACACAAGCAAAAAAATTTTAAAACTTAAGTTTCAACACCTCTCCAGAAGGCTAGTTCTGAATAGACTCTCCAAAAACCAAAATAAAAATCCCAAATAAATAGTACAGACTGTAAACAAAACGAGATAGGGGGCTTTTCAGCTAATTACAGCCATACCTCTTGCCAGGCACATCATTTCATTAAAGGACAGCCCAAACTCACCTTGTTCATGGGCTGTAAAGACACTGAAGTTCAAAGGCAAATACTGTTCTGTTAACTCATATTCCTGGAAAGAATATGAGTTATATTCTTATATTCTTTCTGAATATGCCTCCAAAAGAAAATTTTCACAGGCAAGAAAGATGGTAATAGGTGAACATGTCCAGGGATGGAGACATTTCATGTGTTGCTGGGAAAGTCCTAGGGAACATTTACTCCAAGTGAAAAAACACGTGTTAACAGAAAAAGTAAATTTGAGTTGCCTGCAACCTCTTTTACAGGTCTTCTTCTGAAATGTCTTTTCAGAATTTCTAAGCCTATATATGTTTCCCACTCCTGGAATACTGACTGACTAACAAGACTGCAGTGGGTAATAACTGTTCTTTTTTAACAGGAAATGAATGCTTCTGGGGCCATCAGGGCTCATCCCATCTCTTATAAAGGAAAAATACCTCAATAACCTCACAGCCACATGGCAATAAAAAACATCATCCTCTCTTTCCTCACTTTCTTCTGTCCCTGCTCAGATATATTTCATGGGACTTGGCTCAGGAACAACAACAAATTACCACACAGTGGTCTGACAACTCACCTGCTCAGGGTGTAAGCGTATTTTTCCAATCAACATCTCAGATGAGGCTCTGACATTTCATTTCCCTATTCAATCCAAATCCTTAATGCTACAAGTCACTTCTGCTCCTGATATTCAGCTCTTTTACCCATTTCCCCTCTGCTTCTTTCCGTCTAAAACATGCTCCCTTCTCTTCCACAGATTTTTCCCCTATAGCATCAGAAAAGATTAGACTTTATTAGACAACTCATTTTTCCCTATGCTCCTTTCACACTTCTGAACATGCAAGAACCAGAGCACAGAAAGTGTTCTAGGAACCCAAACCTTCCACACATCATTAGGCTGTGCTCTCCAGTCAAATCCAGAAGTTTTGCCAAGTAACAGGCAGCTCATAATCAGCACAGACTTCAGTTTAAAAAACACAGAGCCTAACCCATTATGACGATCATCTGCATTTCTAGTTAGCATGCAACTAGAAATGTTATGGAGGAACACAAGGAGCTATAAGGACATCTTTAAATAGTTACTGTTGCACAATCAGAAGTAGAGGAACCTAAGCCATACTCTCTGACCTGTGCAGTACACAAAGCCAAACCCAAAGAGCCTGTTCATCTCTTTTGCCCTGTGCCTATGATTTACTTTATTCTTTAAGAGTATCATTGAAAATATCAAACAGGCACATATTTCTAACTTGTAGAAACGAAAACTCATTGGCTAAACCCAAGTAAGAAGCAAAATACATTACTGCTGAGAAATGGGATTCTTAGCATCCATGAGTCATTTAACTTCCACTTTAAAAGCCCTGAAATGTATGTGCTTATACACTTAAGCTATCTAAACTTAATTTTCTGCAACGCCATCCCTACTAGATATCTTTCATAGTCCACCAAATAGCTCTCCAAATACATGGGAGCAGCTGGTGTTCTGCACAATACTTGGGAAATACAAGGCTCTGCGTTATCACACATTATCAAGGCTAGAAAAGGAACCCAGTGACTGACAGAACTGTAGGAAGAATATCCCACGCTTACCACCAACTCTCCCAACACCCATCAAACATGTACCTCAGCCTCTGCAGGGGCAGGTTATTGTCAGAGCAGTACCAGGCAAGAAACCTTTGGGCCCCAGCTTGTGCTGGACTGCTGTCCCCAGAGCACAGCAGCCACCTACCAAGGCTCACAGGAGCTCCCACTGACACACAGCTGGCCAGCTCCTTCAGACTGCCAACATCATAGCAGAGAGAAGAGAGTCAGTCTAAGAAAACAAGTGTTTAATCAGGAAACGAGAAGAGAGGAGGGATAAGAAAGTGATTACAGGAGAGTAATACCCCAGCCAAAAGAAACAGGATTGTACAACTTGTAACAACCGGGATCAAAACATTCTGTGAGCCAGCAGTGCCCAGTGAGGGACGCTCCTGAGAAAGAGCTCAAGCACTTCTGGCAGTTTCCAGGCAGCTCAGTGCAGTCAAGGACTCACTACCCGAGCTCCAACCTCTGTCCTCAGCTGCTGCAGAAAGCTGCAGAGGTGGCCCTGGCCCTGCTACTCCAGTCTCAGCTTCTCTCACCAGGAGGTGCTGAAAGGGATGGAGGGAGCACTCACTGTGCACAGCAGTTCCAGCCACTCTCCAAAAGGAGATGGTGTGTGGAGTAAGAGAAGCTCATACAAAAAAAAAAAAAAAGTTTACATATTTATAAATGCCAAAATAAATATTTCAGACAGAATCCCCAACCCCTCTAACATGTGCGCAATCACACTGCAAACTGCTCGCAGAACAGCCTCCCAGGGCTCAGGGAAAAAAGCGGTGACTACACCACAGGGCAGCCAGCTCAACTTCCTTCTCATTTCCTGATGCTTCTCAAGCCTGCAGCCCACTGAGAAGGAGGAGGAAGAGCGAGCAAAGCAGAGCGCCAACACGCAACAGTGCTGGAGAGGAATGTCATGGTATAAATACATCAGATCAGTGGTTTCCAACAAGTTAAAACTAAAATAAAAAAGACACCAGAAGGAAGGATGGTGTAAATGGAACTACAACTATGTTGGGGGCAAAGGGTCGTGTGTCCGTGGAGCTCCACCTGATGTCATGGTGAGAAGGTGGTCATTTCCAGAGAGACCCTTTGCCACAGCTCCTTTGTCTGCTTGCTGCGCTTTAGGTTCTGGAGAATATCATTAAACTGCATCATGCCCATGGGAGTCAGGCAGAAGGCGCTTCTGGCGCTGCGGATGGCATTCACAAAGTCATCGTAGTCAGCTGGAGTGAGATGGATCAGCCGATGATGGATGTACTGGATGGGAAAAGGGAAAGAGCCTTAAGGCATTTGCTCACCACCCTCCTGCTGGTGAAACTCAGAAGACTGAGCTCCCAGAGCAATAGGCCACATGGTCCTGTTACCCACCAGTGCTGCCAAGACTCGCAGCTCTGACAGAGTACCTCAAAAGCAGCAGTGCTGTGTCCTACACCCCAGCACACCCAAGAGCAGTGCTCCCTCAGAGCACCAAAATGCAGCACACAGCATCAGCAAGTGTCCTCTATGTCATGAGCACTAATATTCTACCCCACCAGCATCCAACCCTCACAACCTTTCATTCTGCAGGTTACACCCAGCCTGGTCACTGTATATCTCCTTTGCTAAGGGACATGGGCTGAGTAAAGTTTACGCTAAATTGCTACAAAATATCTCTAGGCTTTTTACACTGTCACTTCTATCAGCTTCTCAAAGAAGGCCCCAAAACAGGCTTAGCTTTCGAGGTCAAATGAAGAAGTTGTCTTGTCTCAAAAATACCATCTAGGGTGATAGAACAGCTAATTCAATCTGGCCAATATGGCTGCAGAATCACCCTCTGGTGATTTATTCAAGAGAAGCAGGTATATGTGAGGTGTCTTGATTGCACTGTTTTAAAAAACAGGCAGCTTTGGTATTCCAGCTGGCTCGCTGAAACACTGGTTTCAGCAAAGCCTGGGATATCTGTGCTGGTAGCTGACCAAGCCATTTCCACTGTTGGTGTCAGCACTGGCACACCAGACAGCCATGCCAGGACTTTGTGAGGAAGGGAAAACAGGCTACTACTAACAAAAAAGTAAAAAGGATGGGCTAGGGACAGGGGTGGACATGAGGCTTGAAAACAAAGAAAGTTCAGAAGTTAAAAGGTACACGTAGCATTTGGAGTGAGAAAGAACACAACCACCCCAGCCTTCATGGAAGAGCACAGGAGGTGGAAGGCCTTGGCAGAGGCAGTACAGTGAGTTCTTTTGCATGCAGCCCCCATTCAGGCACGTGATATCTACTCCAGTCCCTGCTGAGGGAAAAGGCTGCATCAGGAAATGGACCACGTCAGCTCCCAGTGCCCAAGGCCCCTTCCCCTCTGCACATGCACACACAGGCAGCACCTCCAAGGCAGGCAATGGGCTGGCAGCTCTGACTGGCAAAAAGATAAGCCACACTTTACCTGCATATAGGCCTGCTGGCACCTCTGCACCAGCTGGTGGAAGGCTGGGGTGCGCAGGTGGTTGTGCACATGGGCAGGGTTGAGCCTCTGTAGAGCTTCCATGATGATCTCCTGGAGCACAAAAGGGCTCAGCACCCCCTTGGCAGCACCAACGCAAAACTGATGCACGTAGTTTACACCTGCACAGGAGGAAGTCAGAACAACAGTGCTAAGATAACAGACACACAAGAAATCACACTTCACAGTAAGAACCTGGATCTGGAGCACCTTCTCCATGTACTGCATCCTCCAGCAGGCTTGGGGGAGACAGTCTAGCAAACTCATGGGACAGAGAAGATTCTGCTATATCCATTAGGTTTGAGGAGACCAGATACCACCTCAGTTACTGGTGTTCCCAAATTCACTTTTCTTTAAAGGAGATGTGAAAGGAAACTAATGTGACAAGGTTACTAGACAGACAAGGATAACACTCTACCTTCTCCACTGTTTCCTGACTGCCCATCAAGGAAGCACCTAGATGCCTCAGCACTCAGGCTTTAAGGAGGCTGTAGACATAAGTCAAGCTTCCCCACCACTTCCTACAGTGGAGCTCTGCCAGCAGAAGCTGCATAGAAGGCTGTTTGTAAAGATTTTTTTAGTTCTTACGGCTTATGGAAGAATTTAGAAAGTGAGCTGACAAAAAAGATCCAAGAGCAAAATGGAAGTAAAAACAAGCAACCCCCCCCAAAAATAGGTGTTTTGAGCACCTATTGCTATAAAAAGTCTTCACAGAAAGTATAAATATACAGAAGCTACATAGAAAGCTGTTTGTAAAGATTTTTTTAGTTCTTACGGCTTATGGAAGAATTTAGAAAGTGAGCTGACAAAAAAGATCCAAGAGCAAAATGGAAGTAAAAACAAGCAACCCCCCCCAAAAATAGGTGTTTTGAGCACCTATTGCTATAAAAAGTCTTCACAGAAAGTATAAATATACATAAGAGGAATACCTACAATATAGTGCAAATGGAAAAGAATCGATATTATAGAATGGAAGAGATACAAGCTCTGAACCCTGTCCAATCTCATGTACTTCATCCAGTGACTCAGAATTCAACAGCATGCCTTCAGAACCCAAAAATGGGACAAATGAATGGATGAAAGAGCAGTAGGGATCTTCTCTCAGGAATGGCACTGATATCAGGCTCGCCCAATCCTTGAAGTTTCATTCCTTCAAGAGCTTTTTCCCATCATAGCCCAAATCCCAGCAAGTGGATTTCTGTTAAGTACTGCTCTGAGCCTTACCTAACTTTGCAGCTAACCCAAGGAGCCATTTTACATCCTCAGTGTAGGGCGGGCTGCGGGAGAAGTTGTTGGGATGGTCGTTGTGAGCTCTTCGGCCAAGCATCTCCAGAGCCAGCATCCCTGTGAGAAAGGGGCAGCCACAGTCAAGCAGCACTTCTGCCAGTAAGGCTAAGTCTAGCATTTCACTCACTACAACACAACCTGACTGGCCTGCCCTCCACCAGCACAAAATTCCACAGCTGCAGAGTCCAGACAGAAACAAAAGGCCAGCCTTGGAGCCTGCCAGCACAGGAACCATCTGCAAGAACATCTGGATCTGCTTCTCCAGGCAGGGAAACCGGCACAGCCATCACCCCTCACCAGAGCTGCAAAGAGACACTCAAGCATCCATGGCTGCGTCAAGCAGAGAGCCCCAAAGGCTGCACTACAAGAAATGTCCTGAAAGCAAAGCTTTTGATCTAAATTTTGCAACGGAGAAGCTACCCAAGCCAGCCTGCTCTGCAGCAAAGACAACAGGCTACCACTGAGCTGCAGGATTGCCAATCTGCAAACATTTCACTTATGCCATTACAGTCCTTCAGACAAATCCACCCATTTAAACAATATTCAAACACCAACATGTGCCACATCCTGATCTTCCAGACCATCTTCCCTGCCTGTGCGCCTCTCTCTTATTCAGGTTACTAAACACCCCTCATGGCATGCCATGTACCACTGGTATTTTAAACTACATCTGCACACCTTTCTAGCTAACAAGTACTCTATTCTAGCTTTTAAAAAAAGGTCAAGTGTTCCTTCCATTTTCTTGCTGTTTCTCTTCCTTTGCTTATTTTAGAGGCTTTCTTATCCTACATCAAGTATCCACTGGGTTGAACCATGAGTCTGTACAAGTAGCTTACTACGTACTACTACAGCAGCTTACTGCAATCTAAGCTTAATCCCAAACCCCAAGACTACTATTCTTGTACCAATGGCAATTCAGGCAGACACTCTTATTTTCTCATAACCAGTGTGACTGGGAAAGGAATACTAATTACATACCCACTCTTCACTAAATAGAAGTTCCCTCTGCATCTATCGTTAACAAATAAGTGGAGAGGCACAGGGCACTTCCTTTGTGCATCTGAAGACTCAGCTGCTATTAAACTAGAGGTGTGCCCTCCCCATCCCTGAGCAGCAGGAGTCAAATATCATTTTATCATATAGTCACAACTTGCACAGTCACATCCTTGGAGCCCTATTCAGGCTCCTTTATGTACATCTGCTGAAAGGCAAGACTCTTCCCAGCCTTAACCCACTTAGTTTTCTTTTCCGCTCTGATGGTCCCGAAAAGTAATTGTCCAATCTTACAATGCTTCACCTTCTGTTTTAGACTCCACATCTGATCATAATGCTCTGATGGTCCCGAAAAGTAAAGATTGTCCAATCTTACAATGCTTCACCTTCTGTTTTAGACTCCACATCTGATCATAAACTTGCTTTCCTCATGTCCCTCAGGTGCAGTCACCCTCAACAGGTGCAGCAGCCAATTGCCAAATTGACAGTGAAAACCTGCAGCCTTGCCCTGAATCCCTCTCAAGGGGACTACAGAAACCCACTTGGCCATCCTTACCAACTCGGTATGCAGAGTGGAGGTAGTGCAGACCCTGGGGGCTCACAGGCTGGCTGTGCTGCTCATCCTCGGCAGGAAAACCCCCCGTAACAAGGGAGTTGGGCTGTGAGGACAGAGTTGTCAAGGAAGCACCCTGAATCGCTGGGAACGTTGATCCTGCATGGACACTGCCTACTGAAGAGAGCAAAACAGCAGCATTAGGACCCAGCACCAGCCTAAAAGAAGGTTTACTTGGGACATCATCTCCTTCACCTGACTGCCCCCTGCCAGTGTAGGGTTATATTCCCCTAAACAGAACAATAAAGCAACCAAAACCCACAGGATTACAACTGAAATACAATGGGCCAGAAAATAGCTCTATTCTGTTTGCAAGGTGGGCCTGACAGGGTCAGTTACATGTGTGTCCATTTCTTCTGAAGTATCTTGTGAACATGCACAAAATCCATGTTTTACTTGTAAACATTTGTTGATTCGAAGACATTTGCTATTATTAAACGAAATGTTTGGTTCTGATTTCTTGTCCAAGGAAACAATCATGTGTATGTCTGTATGATGAGAAACTGCCAGGAAAATTACTGAGCAGGAACAGAATTAAGTCACTCAAAGATCAAGTCCAACAATCAAGGTTCTTCCACTTCAGCTGTACGACAGCTGTCACTCGGTTCAGGAAGGCTGTTACTGCAGGCTGACCTCCAATCCGTCCCTGGAAAGAACAGTCCCTGCACACACTGGCAGCATGTATCAACAGTAAAAAACAGCAAGGAGACTTGAGAAGTTGTCACCTTCAGACACTTAACTAGTATGAGCAAACTCAAGGGAAATGGCAGATTTCAAATGCAAATCCATTGCATTGTACCACCTGAACTTGTACAGACAGCAGCAAACACTGAATCACTAAGCTGAACTCTTACAAGACTCAAATTTACCTGTCCCTCTCAAGAAAGGTACAAAGAACAAAAAGCAAGGTTTGCTTGAGAACTCCAGAGCACAGATGCCATTAGGTGTGTGCAAATTGTTACCCTTACTTCACAGTTTCTCTATGATGCTATTACACCAGCTTGAGCACTGCTGTAAGCTCCTTTTTATTTCCCCCTCCATGTTTGCTAGTGCATAGTTAAATACCTGAGAACAATACGGCTCCCAGGAAAGACCTGTCTAACCCCCTCAACCAAGGGCACACAAAGTGCCAAACACTGCACAAAGCAAGGCAAAATTGATACTGCATTTGAAGTCTGGCCAAGGAGAATAACCTGTAAGATTGAGGTAAATTATTGTCAGAGCTCAGGCATCACCACATGATTCTGTACTTCAGGAATAGTGAAACAGTATTGTAAGAACTGAAAATAAGTTTATGGAAGCCGTAAACAATGGCAACTGGAAAGGGTGGGGTTGTTTTCTCCTTTTGCTATTTTAAGTGTTCTAAGATGAATTAGCACTTCTGGAAGATTCATAACTCTTTGGAGGAATACAGAAATGGTTTCTCACAATGAACACTCACAGCATCAGATTGTGACTAAGGCTGGCAGCTATGAGATCCTAAGGCCTTCAAGACTGTTTTATTTGCTTTTGTGCTAGCTTTTTAGCATCAAAATACTGGATAAAAAAATAACTGAAATTACTCTCCAGATACTCTGAATATGACAGAGATCAACACAACTCTTCAGTGTTTTTCCACATACCAGTCTTCCAGCACCTGGTGGGTTGCAACACACTGAAAACAGGGAAACATTACAGCCTCTCCAGTGAGGGGTTAGCAGAGATTGGGGTCAAGTGCAACCCACTGGTATAGAACTCCATGGCAATGACAACACGTCCACAATCCAGTCAAGATCTGTTGCCCCAGTGCTACACACTACTTCATGGATTTTCACCATCACACAAGCCCTAGCACAACACACGAACAACCATTCCAAAAGCTATTGACATGACTTGACAAAACATCTGTCATCTCTGATAGTTCCACATTTGGGCACTGGCTGCCTCCAATCCTTTCAGGCATGAAAAAACATTTAGTAGTGCTTCTGTAGCAGAACTCTGCCTGCTTCCTGCACTCTGTTCACCTGACCCAAGAGAATTACACGAGTCTGCTCAAGATCATCTATGGTCACCTTGCCCCAAGGAGAGCAGGAATTAAGCTTTTAAAGGTTAGATGTCAGAAAGACCACAAGGGCTCCAAACATGATTTAGTCTTGAGGCCAAAACAATCTCATACTGGAAATTCTTGTGAACAGAAGTTCCTCTTGCTAGCTGTATCAGGCCCCCTTGGGAATCCCACTACCCCTGAGCATGCACACCTTTAGAACGGTGTGCATTTGGCCAGAACTTTCCAGTGCAAGAACCCTCATTCCACTTGTAATAAATAAGGAACAGGACCTCACTGGGGAACAGCTAAGAGACAGTAAAGAAACCTCTGCTCCCCAGCCCAGAGCTGTAACTCACATGCTACATTGGAAGACAGCGACAGTCCCGTCTCACTGTGATAGGGATGCACCGCAATCTGTGTCATGGAGGGGACGGGCACACCAGGGAAGGACACTGCTGTAGCTGCCAGTGACGGTGCTGTTACCGAGTAAGGGTACTGCGCCCCTATGAATGCTGGATGGACACCCTGCAACAGAAGGTACAGAACAGTTGTGGCTACTTCGCCTGACCACTTAGAAGCAATTCAAAACATCATGTCCCCACACAAAGCCCCAGAGCTTGAAAAGTCCAGTCTGAAGGAAGAAAAGGCAGAAACTTGTACCACATGAGCACTACATCTGCTGGCTCCTCCTCCTTTAAAAAACCCTAATAATTTTGCAGAAGACCACTCCAAGACCTTCCAAAATAGGCAAAGGTTAAAATAACTTTTATTCAGCTTTCCCAGCATAGTCTCTATTTAGCCTGCAAGCTCTCAAGAAAACAAGCTTTCTGTCCAGTGCCTTCTGAGAAACTACAGAGCAACAGAAATTGAGAACTACCGACGTATTATATTTTATATTCTCTTGAGACTTTAAACACAGCTACAAAAGGCTCTTTATTGTGCAAATGCTGAGCTGGAGGGCCAAAATAAGTGTCACCAACTGGCAACTGAGAGCAGAAAGAGGGACCTGATCTCAAATCATGACAGGTCTGAGCGCCATGCTCTCCCCACTCCAACATACTCCCACACAAGCAGCCACACAAGGTCACAGTAAATGAACAAGGCACAGCCAAAACTCACCTGTGGATACGCCGAGCCAGGGACCGGGAAGACAGCTGGGCGCGGCATGTGCTGGATAGTGTGTCCGATATACTGGGGATTACAGGGGATGTGAGTCTGAAGGGTGGTGTAAGGGTGGAGACCCTGCGTGTGTGTATGTGCCATTGCTGGCCCTGCCACCGTGTGCTGCTGGTACATGGTTGACCCCACAGAGATCACTGGCATGACGGTTGCTGCTGCAGTTACTGCAGCTGCCACTGTCACTGTGGTCGGCTCTGAGGTCACCCGGCTGTCTGCCAAGCCACGTGCCGCTTCAGATGCGGCCCGCGCGCCACCGGCGCTGCAGCCAGTGGCACCTTCTCTCTGGGCTGGGGTCCCACCAACAGTCTGTTCATAAAGCCAGTACCACTGATGAGCTACTTCAAAGAGGACTTCTGGGTACACGCCACCTCCTTTAGCTGCCTCTTCTACTGCCATGCAGGCCTTTTCCAGCATCAGGTTGTCCTGGGAGCAGTGAAACAAAGGAAGTTAAGAATGTAAAATGAGAAACACAAGAAAGAAAAACTACAAGAGGGGAGAAGTACAAGGCACTCTAAAATGACTAATACTACGGGGGACCGGCCAGATGCTATGCAGCAGAATAACCAGTGTTATTCACGAAACATAAGAAATCCAGAGAACTGGGATTATGGCCGGGCAGTAGCAAAGGAGCCAACCCCACAGGTAACAACAGCACATCCTTCTTGATGCTAGCAATCAGCCTCCACTAGCAGCTGCCATATGATGCTCACCTGTTCCTTACACTGCACCAGAGCCCTCTGGATCTCATTTGGGTTCAGGGCATGGGCATGAGGCAGGCAGCTGAGTGCCAGTTCGGCAGCTGCCCGCACCATGTTGGAGTCTCTGGCCCGTGAAGCTCTGTCTGCCAATGATGCCACCTCTGGGGGAGTTAGATGTCCATCCCAACACTCCACTAAGATGTTCAAGGCTGCGCTACCAATCTCCATGGCCTGCCCTAAGAAGAAGAGTGAGAGAGACTCTCACACCACTGTATGCCCAGCACAGTTACAGTCAGCTTTCTTTCAACAGCAGGTGCACTCTTCACTTCCTTCAGCAGCAGTGACACAGCCCAGTTGCTTCCCTTAAGGTTCACATCAAATTTAGGCGCTACCTCCCAAAACACAGGACCTACAAGAGCCCTCAATGAGCAAGTGGTGAGTGAGGACACCATTACTTAAGCTAAAATGCATTGGAAATAGCAAAAAGTACTTGCTATAGGTGATTTTCGTACCCACAAACCGGTCTGGACTGCCAGTCTATTAATTCATGTCAGGAAAACATGAATTTTTGAAGGTGTGTTTTTTATGCATCTAAAAGCCATATGGATAGGTAGTAGGTATGGGTGCAGTCAGAAGGAAGAGAAAAGTGAAAACTGAACATAGCCAGAGAGCATGTTCATACTTGACAAATGTCTGTCACTTCAACACACTTCTGAAGGAGAGGTAAAGACCAATCTCTGTATGAGAAGTGGGCTTTTTAGACTGAAGCATGTTGCAGTACAAACAAGAAAGGCGTCACAAGAACTTCCCAGGCCCAAGGAACGACCACTGTGTAAATCACTGCTGATCAGCAACTACTGCAGCTGTGTGAGCTGCTCACACAGCTCCTACAGCACACCAATATCACCATTTTCAAGAACAAGCTTGCCCCCCTACCCCACTTCCTGCCCAAAAGTTAGCCTCTCAATAAAGTTTTGCTGTAACCTGTGATCCAAGAGACATGCGAGGAGTAAGTTCGAGAGAGCCAGTTGGGAGACACGAAGTTGTGCAGCCCTAGTGCATACAGCCCAATCTCAAAGGCGCAGAGGTGAAGGTTGCGGTGTGGTCCCTGGTGCCCACCACTGGAGGAAGGGTGGGTGAAGATAGAGGTACTGCTGTTTCCACCTGCTTTGATAAGGACTGTCTTGGCCAATTCGAAGTAGAAGTGAGCAGCTGCCTCTGAGGGCTGGTTTGGGACATGAGGAGCATGGCTCTCCAGCCGCCTCCCTTTATACCTAGAAGAAAGACAGAGGAATCTTTCAGATAAGTACCCCAAGTTTGCCAGCTGGAGCTCCTGTCTTTAGGGTCCAGAGGAAACAAAGCAAATTTTCCCCATCAAGTATTTCCCAACGCACACGTGCCATGCCCCCGACATCTGGCCTAGAGGTTGCCTCTGTGCATTGGTATTATTCATTACCTGCCAACTTCCACAGTCTTTGCACGGGCTCCCCCACTAGCTCTCCTACTGCCACTGGAAGAGGAAGATCCCAGTGAATCACTTGAAGAACTGCTGATGCTGTCACTGTCCTGTCCTCTGCCCCAGGATGTTGTTGCCCAGCCCCCACGTAGAGGACGCCGACTGAGTGTTGGAGAACTGTCAGAGGTGGTTTCAGGAGCACTGCTGTCAATACTAGCCATGCCTACAACACCAGAACCAACACAGAAATGTCACCAGGGTTGGTAAATGCAATGTGGGAAGGTAAACTCTGAACCATATCACCTGCGGTCCCAGCTAAAATCAGTTGTGTCAGTGACTGCCTTAGGGCTGACAAGCATTCATTGCAAATTGAGAGAGATTAAATCAAATCAATTTGACCACAGACATCAGTGACATTTTGTAATTCTTGGATTAAAATGCAGAAGAGCCCAAGAACAAGGCATCTTTATTCCCCCCTTCACACCATCACAGCTCCTCACTCCACCTGCCAAGTTTTGTGGCAGAGTATAATAACAAGAAGCAAATGCACTTACAAAGTCAAGTTCCACAGATTATACAAACAGGAAGAAAACCCTTTGATACATGCTGCACAACCTTCACGTCCTCTGCCTCTAACTTATACCCTTCCCAAGAGAAGTATAGAGAGGCAGCAGCTTCTCTGAATTTGTTTCTGGTTCAGCAGCACAGTGCTGCACTTCTAGAGTCAGCAGTCATTGAGCTCCAGGTATCTAATCCATCACACAGAACATAACTGGTTCAAGAAAGGCAGGAAACTTATTTGTCCATGTCAAACACCTCAGAGATACTCAGCTGCTTCTGTTGTACAGGAAAGGCTGACAAGTAAAATCCCAGAGTCATAGAATAGAATTTCTCCAAGTCCCATCCAACCTGGTCTTGAACTCCCAGGGATGGGGCATGCACCACTTCTCTGTGCAACCTGTTCAGAGCCTCACGACCCTTAAAGAATTTATTCCTAATGTCCAATCTGAACCTCCCATCTTTCAGTTTAAAGCTGTTATCCTTTGTCATATCACTACATGTCCTCGTAAAAAGCTCTTCTCTGGCTTTCTTGGGTACACCCCAGCAGACTGCCTAAGAGAGCACTAGATGCTGTATGAGCTAGTCCATTCCCACCTGTGTGTTTCTTCTTCTGCCTGACAGGTGAACCCCAGCATCTCCCATTGTATCCACCTCGGTTTCCAAGGGCCAGACGACTGGGGACCTTTCCCTCTTGTTTCAAAACAGTGGCCTCTGCAGCTGGCTCACAGGGGGACCTCTGAGAGCTCTCTGCTAAACAGAACAGTGACAACATTAACATCATCTTGTTTCTGTATCTCTAAAATCGGGGCCATTTAAAAGATACAAGTATCAAAAGATAAAGGATTGTTATAAAATTAATTATATTTATGAGCAGGATTGTCTCAGTTTTCTTTTGAATCATCTGACACTAGGCCAAGAACATTTAACTCAAGATTTGGAAAATGGGCTGTAACTATGGAAAATTTTAGCATAGCTGTTGCAAACGCCTTCTTACCCTGTGTACTCTTCTCCACAAAGTTCTCAGGACTGCTCTGAACTGCAGTGCTTACAGCAGCTTGCTGAGTGACAGAAGTCCCTGGAAGCTGCTGGATAGCTGCAGCAGACTGGGCAGCATGCTTGGAAGGAGATTTTTGATTGGCAACTGCAGGCTTGCTGGATGAGTAGAAAGAACTCAGCGTCTGTGGCTTATGAGTTTGACTCTCTCTGTCCAGGAGTTTGTCTAAAATCTTAACAAGCAAGGGAAACAAACAGAAGGCACTCAACAGAACGGTAACAGACCAGGAATTACACTAAGACAAAGAGGCAAAATACCAAATCAACTTCCTGGTGGACAACAAATTTTATTTGTTGGAGAAAAAAAGAAAATGCTTATTTTCTAGAAAATATGCATCATCTTCCTGCACCAAAGAGCAATGCAATGCACAGTTGAGAGCCATGTGGTCTGCATTACTTGAGGAAGCAAAGACTCAGTAATAATACATTTTCACTTGAAACAGCCACTGGCTTTCCTTGAAAAGCACCCAAAACTCACAAAAAATAAGCAATTCTAGTATATGAAGAACAGAATGGAGAATTCTAAATTTAGTTCTGCCAGATGTTGTTTAAGTCACAAAAATTCCACACTTACCATTCAAAAAATCCTGTCATACATTACTGAGAAATGGGCAAAGCCACTAGAGAAACTGCTTTATACTGGCCTACAGTAACATTTTCTTGTCATAATTTATTATGTAATTGGGGAACAATGCATCACCACATTCTAAGGGTTTGTCCACTTCTACTGTTTGTTCTCATATTTAATCAACACCACAAGTCTGACAGATCATTTATGCACACATGATTGATATCACAGTGTCCCTGTTGTTCCCTGGAGAAGACTATAGCAAAGATGCTTCTCTCTTAGGAGACAAAAAGACACTAATAATGTAGTTCTTGCTGTGTAAGAGGATTTCTGAATATAAAAGATTAATAAAATCCTTTCTGAAGCTTCAGCAGTTTTCAATTTTTTTTCTTCCTCTGGGGTAGACAGAGTTTTACTCTCTCTCTTGCATAGGAAATTCAGACAGGTGTACTGAACTAGTATATCAAAGAAGTGAGAGGTTAAGAAACAGCTTTTGCTAGCTATACTGTTCTGCAAACCAATATCACTGCAGCAAAACATGTGCAATTCCATACCACACACAGACTGCACACCAAAAACCCTTAGGAGTGGACTTGTCTTAGCAATAAAAGCAGTGACAACACATCTCCTGACTGGATCTTAAGAAACCTATGGAAAGAGTGCCTCTCCCAGGGCAACACACTCCACACAATTTTGCAGCAGTAGATGAATTTAAATACCACAACACAGCTTGTAAAACATCAATACGTGACACAGCAACTTATACTCACTGGCAAAACTATCAAATCCATCAAAACCCAAACCCTTCCTTCTCCCTCTCCCCTTTCAAAGGGAAACTCACCTTCTTCAGCTTAGACTGATCATCCTTGTAAGTGATCATCAGGGCTAGTGCCAGATCCCCTTTCTCCCTTCGTGTGCCTTCACACAACAGAGGATGTTCTGCTTCACTGACAGTTGTTTTCATACCTGCAGCCCATAAAACAGAGCATGAAGAGACAAGTGAGCTCATGGGACTACACTACATCCTGAGAGCTGTCTACACTTCAGACTGTTTTAATCGCTTCCCTGTTACAGGCAAAAAAATATTTCTTCTGTTAACTTCAAAAAGAGGCCATGAATAAACAGAAGCTGCAGTCTGTCCCTAGAATACTAAGTTGGCCACAACTGTCAGAACAACCAGATACTAAAAGGCTACAGGAAGAGTCCAGGCAAGCCTACAACCCTATCTTGAAACAAATCTTTTGCTTCTGCAGATGCTACAAGCCAGCATTCCAACATCATAAAAAACTCATCCTCTTTCTTTCAGAAATGAGGCAACAAACAACAGGTCTTGTCTAATCCATTTCATTTCTTTTTGCATACTGCTTTAAAACATGCATACAGTATCGTCAACATAACATGTATACAATCACTGCTTCGTTGTTGAAGCAAACGAGGCAAGAATTCAGTACAATGCTAAGATCCTGAATGATATGATAATGCTTGAGAGTACTTCTGCTGATCTTTCACTATCATTGTCTAATCTCTTCAAAGATGATTGCCTTTTGTTCTCTGAAACTGTCCATTTCCACTGAAGTCCAGGCAATACATATTTCCTGAATAAAAGAGCAAGCAGAAAGCTAAAATTCATGTTACTACCTAAACACTGAGTTCTCGTCCAGTATTCTCCTTCCATTTTTTTACAGCTTTGCAATGATACCTCAACCCTGGCATGTAGAATCCCGCATCTGGTTCTGTCAAACTCTGCAAACACTTCTATTTCTGCACCAAACTGGAATGGACTCTCGCCATTCAAAATGGGAAAGCATGCAGAACATGGATGAAGGCAGACTTTCCTCGTAAAAGATTCTTACCAAGAGCAGCAACAGCTGCCTCAAAACCAAGCTCTTCATCTCCAGGCATTTCATTGTTCCAGTTACGGCTTGGGGGTCTAGAGCCTGTAGGAGAAACCACTGCAAGAAGACAACAGAATTAGTGTTCATCTTTCAAAGCTAAGGCTTCAAAGCAAAAGACATTTCTGAGAGCTTTCTGAATTTGCAGAGCTTCCTGTGGTCCTATTCTTAGCCTCATACCAGTTTCAAGACCACAGCACCTTACAGGGTTTTCTTCCCATTTCTCTCTCTAAACTCAGAAGGCTCCAAACCAGTATATTGCCAAGTCAGTCTTCTAATCCCAGGTTGCTGTATTCTTTTTATATTCTTGATTTATATTAGCTTCCTCTGAATATAACCAGCATAAAAGCAGCAAAGTCAGTAATTTATAACTATTTTACAAACACACATAGAGTGCTGAAATGTCTTAAGTGTGCAGTTGTTTTCAAATGTAGGCAAAAGGAGAAACTGTTCCACTAGGGAACAAAATATCTTTAAAACAATGTAGAAGCAAGTGCAAGCAACAGCATATGAAGAATTAAAATTTGGTTGTTCTTATACAGAAGACATTTTCTCTTTGGAAATCCCTCAAGACCTGGCATCTCAGAATATGCCCTGCACGTGCTCAGGCCAATGCTGTCAGTACCTGGAGTGCACAGGACATCAAATATAAAGCTTGCCAACATCAGAGGCAGGACAGGACGGTAATCACACAAGGTCCCTTCTCGCAGTTCTTCAGCTCTTCCTCGAATAGTGTTCATCTCATTGGTGCCCAAGGGAATCTTCTTCAAGAGGGCTGCAATCTCAGATTCCTGATAAGCCAGCTTCACCTGGTAGTATCCACAAGGAAAGAGAATAAAAGCTGTCAACAGCACAGTTCCCTGTGGGACACAGATCATTCTCCCCTATACATAAAGTACAACAGTAGTTTTTATTAGTTTATGAAATGATAACAATGCTTACCAGCCTAGCCATCATTACCATTCTCTCCACAATGAAAACAGGTTTTCAAATCTAATAACAGTCTTGCTTCATATTTATAAACAAATTTTTTAAATCAAATGATCACTTTTCAGCTGCATACAGAAAAAAATGCATCAGCTCTCACAAGAACATCAGCAGAAGTATCTAACTGGATAGGCCAGTGGAAAAGGTGGTTACTTGTAATTGTAGGAAGAAAGGATGCTATGTTAGTGGTACACCCATTTGAGACACCAGAGACTGATTAGCAGAAGAACAGGCACAGTTGCAGCACACATGCCATCAGGATGAAGACATTTCACTGCTCCGTGTCTGTATTCTCTCCATTCTTAACACACGAAAGCAATAGTTTTCTCTAAGATAGCAAATGACTGCTACCTTACTGCCAAACTCACAATCTTCTAATCAGACCATAAGAAGCACAGATAATTAGTGTAATGATTGTAGTTGGTGGATAACTAGCAACAATACACACTCTAAGGGACTGAACAACCCTGCAGTGAAAAGCAAGGTAGCTGTAAATCACAGAGACATGATCTTCACTGGACACTTTTTTCAAAACAGGAGTCCTCACAGTAATCAAGGAGTGTCCAAAATAATATGCTTGTACAGTGCATATGCTTGCTTGCCAGTGAATGAGGTACCAGCAAAAGCAACAGTTTTCAAACACATAACAATTGCACCAATTCACCCTAAGGAAGAACTTGCAAACCATTTCACTGATGCAAATATGGACAAATATGGATATTTACAAATGACTTTGTGTTCTCCACATTAGCAAAGCAAAATGAAAACATATTTAAGATAAGAACTAGGCTGTTTTTATCCAAATAATACATTCATAAAAAATTTTGTACTCATTTAAATATTTTCAGACCTATAGCTTTATGTGAAATCAAAGACCTGTTGACACACGAGGTCTGAGCTTCCTATCAGTGAAGGTAACAACAGCTGAAGTGATATTGCGAATAATTTTTTTACGAGATCAACATATCCTAATGGGATGTGCACTCAACTGATTTAGTTCTACTGCAATCCATTTTAAGAAAACCTATAAAAGCACAACCAAACTTCAGGTGCTGAAATTTAAACCATGTAAGCAAACACATTCCAAGAGAACAACATTTATGGATACTGTCTTTTTGAGATATTTAATTACCTCCAGAGCCTTGGTAGAGGCAGGTGGTCTCTGCAGCTCCAGAGCAAACATTCCTATTTGGAAGGCCAAGTTATGGTACTCCAGCCGCTCACTCAAGACAGTCAGCAAGAAAGCTGCTTTAGACAAGGTGTTGGTTGCCATCCATGTCTGCTTGCTAGTTGACACCTTGTTTTTTTTGCCCTGTTTGAGGAGAAACTTGTCACAGGACACTTTTCTAAACATCCTAAATGACTCTATGCTTGTCCTCTTATCCTTTGCAGTAATTATAGACAGGAGAAAGAATAAAATACATTTACATTCTGCTCCTACTGCTGAGGTTACCACTGAACATCATTGCTTCCCCTACATTACCCCAGCACAACACAGTGAAAGAGCTGGCCTGTGGACAAGACACATGTTCCCTATTGGGCTGATGCTGTGCAGGCAGATGTCACACGCCCATCCCTTCCAAGGGAAACCTTCTATACAACAAACACTACTTAGTGTCACTGCAACTGACTTTCCGGAAGTTTATGCTTATGTCCAACCCTCTTATCCTGAAACAGCAAAACTACTAACATTTCCAGTGGTGGACATTATGAAATAGGAGACTAAGGTTTTGGAGAGAACCACAAGAAACAGGACCAGCTGCACTAACATCAAGACTACTGATGGTTGCTGCAGTCTCTCTACCTTAGTTGGCGGCTGCTCCACTTTGAGATCTGGAGGGTTGGCCAGTAGGTCCCTGGCAAGCTCTACAGTCAAGCGGCAAGCCTCATTACTGTATCCATGTGCATACAGTGCCTCTGCACAGGCAAACAGGATCTGCAAGAAGGAACAAATGGTCATGTTCAAACCACACTACCCAGCCTGGAGTCAGCCTGCTCAAACCACTTGTCACAAAGACTGCAAGTACAATTCACTACTAATTTCAGCAGCAGAGTCCTCCTTGCCTAGTCCTTCACCACCACTCCTCCAAGCACTCACCTAAAAAGCCTTTTCTTACGTTAAGTCCCATCCTCTCTGCAAGTGCTGTGAGATCAGAGAATAGCTCAAAAAATGCTAAACTTCAAACTACCACTATTTCCATGCATTGCCATTTGGCTGCTTGGTTATATAGGTGCAATCTCTAAGCACATTTTGTGGTTATTACTGGAATAAGACACAGTTTATTTAGACTGTTTCTCCTTTCCAAAGAACTTCTGCTTAAATGGTTGGATTTAAGTTTTTCTTGCTGAGCATGTCTTAGTCTTAATTTCAGATAATTTTCAAGGGTTAGACTAGGTGAAAAGCGCACACTGTTTTTTCTACGTTTGTAAATCCTGGAGTGTGAGATGGGACTAACTAAAACTGGGACACACTTGCAGTTAGCACAGAAATAGGAAATCAAGCTTGTGGGAAGCAGACATATGCTACACTAAGCTTGTAGATACCTTACAACACAGTTATCACAACATTGTAATTAGGCACTTGATTTAACAACATCCAGCTATGAATGTGGTGAGACCATGATTTATACAACACATAAAACTGCAAAACAGCATTTTGAACTAGATTCAACTTACCTCCATCCGGTTCTCCTGTTCCAGAGGCTTGATACCAGCAAATATATCCTGCTCCTCTTCAATTCCCCCTTCAGCTTTGTCATCATCTTCCTTGGCTACCTCTTGTGGGTTCAGATAGTATACCTGGTAATCATCTTCCTCTTCTCCGTCATCCCCTCCCCCTGCTGCACCATTCTCTCCCACTTCTTCTGGCTTCAGACTCATACCACCAGAGTTCTCATCTGCAGAAGGCAGGTCATCATCACCACTACCCATCTCCCCCACAGGATCCTTGGGGGGTTTCTTGGCCATGGAACTGCTCCTGAGAGTAGGCTCCGGTCCCTCAGAGAAGTACACTCCACCATCCTCCTCAAAGGCATCCCTGTAGCTCCTGCTCAGTGGACTTTCTGTAAAACTGAAGGTATTGCTGGCTTCTGCTCCCAGTGCCAAGCTGCTGTCATCCAGGCTCATCTCTGCCAAGTCTGGCTCCAGAGAGCTGTCCTCACTGCTCATACGGCGTTTCCCACTATGTTTACTGGTCAAGCCTTTGCTCACTGGCAACTTTGCTTTGCTCACTGCAGTCTTATAGACAGCTTTATCCCCTTCTGCTGAGAGCCGTCTCAGAACCCTCTGCGGCGTTTCAGAGACAACTTTCCTCTTGCCAGTGAGCTCTTTTGGACGAACCGCTGGCTCCTGGGGCGAGGGCCGCAGCCTGTCCCCAGGCTGCAGACATGGTCCCCCAGGTTCCTGGCCGTGGGTCCTACCAGCCTCACAAGCACTTTCCACACACTGCAACCGGCAGCTCCTCTGTTGGATGGCCTTTACCCAACAGAATGAGTTCTTCTTGTCAGTGCTGCTATATGTAATCCCAGGAATGGGATAAGCTTCCTCCCAGCTGAAGTAACAGGCTTCTACAGCTGGCTTGAAACCTTGGAAGAGCTTCTCCAGTGATTTCTTGTGCTGACCTCTTTTAACATTATCTATGACTTTCAGCTGCCACTGTCTGAGCTGTGAGCAAAGATCCCTGCGCCTAAGAGAATAAAGGGGACAGGTTAGGAAGCAGACACAAAAAGCACTTGCAACAAACTACTAACTCAACCCACAGAACATTTTCTTCCTTTGGTCACAAACATTATCTGCTGAATTAAGTTAATGCTAAATAGAGGCAGCACTAATAAGAAGACAGGCAGAAAAAAGCAAACAGATAAATTAACAACTGGGTTCTTGACAGGTTCAGATCAGAAGCAAAAGGTTCGGATCAGAACCATTTCAGATCAGGTTCATGACCAGAAACAAAAGAACATCACCAACATGAAAGCACAATACAAACTGCGAGGTTTAAAATAAAATGCTGTCTGCCCTGTTTGCTTATCTGCCCTAAGTAAGGTGTTAGTGATTTGAGTCTCAGGAGTCCCAGATGAGTGAGATGAGTCTCAGAGTCAGTCTCAGTTCCATGGGGAACTGCCCTTGGAAACACTCATAAAACAGTTTGTAGCAGCTGTGAAACAGCCCTGTGAATAACTCCAGTTAAGGCATGCACAATTACAACCTACACAGCCTACCCTGAGAAGCACAATGACAGACAGGACCACTTAATCTCCCTCCCAGGCATTTTCCTTTTTACCCTAATGTGCCTATATAGAGGCCAACAACTTAATTTAAGTTTAGCAGGCTGTCCTCAGGAGAACAAACTGTTGCAAACCATAGGGACAACATAATTGATGTTCAAGTAACTCTGAAGAAGCAGCAAGCTGGCAGGACTACGGAGACTCATGTTGCACAGTTACTCCCATGCCACCCTATTACTATGGGAAGAACAAAACAGTTCCGCATTTTCCAGCTCCAAATCTCACACAGAGCCTACGCACTTACGCTAAATAGTCTAAATGGTGATCTAATTCAAGAGAAAAATACATTTCTAGAAATTTCACCAGGTGTCTCAATCAACTGCCATTCTGCAGTGTGCCATTTCTGCCACACATTTCTGATATATAATCCCAACACTTAAATCCTATCAGATTTCCTATCAAAAGTAAAAGGACAAGAAAACAAAATAAAAATTGAGGTGACCTAATTTAGGTGCAAATTGGTATTGGGTATTGGGACAAAAGGGACTAAATGAAATGGACTACTTAATTTGTCCACTCAAGAAAGTAATTAACCAGGAAACATACTGGTTAAGAACATGATTTTCAGAAGGAAAAAGGAGCAGGAACTACTCGGGAAGGGGAACATAAGTATGAGAATCTGTGAAGTCTCCTTGTGAGTCACTGTAAGGACTGGGAAGCACAAGAACAGGGTCCTTGGAGAGTATTCAAACACCAAGACAATAGGTAATCAAGCAGGAGCATTTCAATTATTCATTGGCTTGAGTAGGAGATCTGAGAAAATCTGAACTGCATCAAATAATTCAAAGGTGAATACAGATAGCACAACTTCATACGTTATTAAAAGACTTTATGCTTCATACGTTATTAATATTTCATGCTTCATACGTTATTTAAATACTTTCTGCTTTTACTGTGTGATTTGATTGATGTTTGTGTTTATTTTAAGCCTCATTCCCAGTTTCCTACAGTTTTTCTCTTCAACTCCTATACTTAGCTACTTTGTATTGTGAACTGTACAAGATAGAAACTGCATTCATTTTAGTGTCCCTAATATGCCTTCCATAGGGCATTTTATTAATGTTACACAATTCAGAGAAAGAAAATCCTGTTAACATGTAATTGTTCTGAAATTGCCATCCTGTTTTCATTTCTTCTGAGAAACTTCTGAGAATTTATAGCACATTAAACTAATCCAATACATTTTATACACCACACTCTGTAGACAAGATGTACAAAACAAACTATTACAATGTCAACCGCAGTATCTCAACAGGAGTTCTCAGTACCTCCTCTGCTATTCAACTGGTACTAAATAAAGATGGTGCTAAATGAAGATGGCAGTGACTTAACAGAGTACAATATGGTTTAGAAATCTGCAGAAGCCACAAATTTTTTTCTCAGACAATTGAAAACGTTGAAAATCATACACTGGTGACACTGTTTACTAATACACTGCAGAGAATAAACTCCCTAAGAGCACAGAAAGTAAGAACTGGCTCATCTCAAAATACACAATAGTGAATGACTAGGCTAAACAGAATTTCATTAAATTGCTGAATGGTTAAATATAGAAACTTTTAGAATTACTTGGTAGCTGATGCTATCATTCAAACGTTCTCCACTGGGACACTAAAATGCAGAATTACACCCATCTAAGAAAGAACACTCAGAAAACAAATCAGTCACACTACTTGATGTTGCTAAAAGTAAGCAGCAATAGCAATTAAAGTAATTACAATGCTTTGAATGCTACAGAGCACATAGTCCAGAAGGACTAATGGTTGAATTGAGGTAATGATACAAACACAAGAAATCTACATGATGAAAGTCTTTAGTGTGGTTGAGTACCACAGAAATTAAAGATAGATAGGAACTGATTCTGGAGCTCACCTCTGTGGACTAATAGTTGGGTCGAGGACAGCCAGCCTCCAAAGAACCACCATCTCATCACACATGCTTGCACAAGCATGAGCAGCTACTTCTGACTGGCCACTGCTGCGTCCTGTGTGCCCACTGGCACTGCTGTGTGACGCGGATGTTCGCACACTGTACCACCAGCCAGTTATCTGCAGCAGAAAAAGTTCAGTGGAGCCATGTTGGGGCCAACATCTCATCCCCTGCTCTCACTCCACCTCATAATCCCAAGGAAACAGGATCTGTAGTTAATATCAGGTTTTCATTTGACTCCAAAATAACTATGACTATTAAAGCAATATTGGTTTGTGAGAACTAAGGGCCTCAACATTTCTCTAGTTAGAAGGCACATGCCCAGGGAACAAAACACTCACAGGACATTCACTTCCTAGAGGTCTTCACACTTAGAGAGAAAAAGTAAACAAATGTAATAAATGGAGCATTTCCTTTCCCTTGCTTAAAGTCGAGAAGGTATGGCAGGGAGCAATAAGGAAACGTACACCACAGTTTATATTAGAAACTGAGGTCAAAGTCCTGAACTACCAAAAGGAAGCTTTTTTCCTAATATTATTTTAACAAATAATAAAAAAGTACTGCTTCAATCCACCAAAAGGTGTCTTCTGTAAAGATAACAAAAGAATCTGAGATTCTATCACACAACATATAGATTTAGTTTTTATCAACATGACAGCTCATACATGACGTGCCTTGTTAAAAAAAAAAAAAGAGAAACAGAACAACTGCAAAATAAATCACCTTGATCAGGAAGAAATCAAATCAAATATGCTGAACAAAACAACTCAAACTCTACATATTCATGTTAAAAGAATCGAGGCATTTGGGGAATACAGTGTTACCAGGACATCACTAAATCAGAACAAGAGCAAACTGTAACATCCTTTTAGTGTGGAGAACCACCTGCCTACAACACACATGGGCTATTAAAATAATTGTATTCAGCCATGGGTTGTATAGAGACAAAGCACTAGTTACTGGCTCTGCCTGGTTCCCCAGAAAATCCCCCCACTCCAAGCAAAGAGATACCTGCTCATAGTTGAGACACTGGTCAGTCAGAATCTCCAGCAAAGGAGCTGCATTGCTATCCCGTCTCTTAAACATCTCCCGCACAATGGAGAGCAAGTTCCAGATGCCTTCAGGTTCCCTTCCTCGCAGGGGACGCCGCAGACAAGCCCACTCAGCAGCAGCTGGTGGCTCAGTGGAAGACAGATACATTGAATTCACATCACTGTATATAAAGCAGAAGAACACGGAGAAAAAAATTAAATCAAGCAGAGTCACAGAAAATCCTGAGTATAATGTACATCCCGAAATATATTTGCCCTTCAATGACACAGACACCTAAAAGACAGAATGTATAATGAGCTGAAGAACACCACACAAGCAAATACTGTACAATATGGTCTGCTCTACTGAAATAACACTGCAGAAGCTACACAAAAATACAGTCCAGAAGAGCAACCATGAAACTGAGCATCTCTCAGTCCAAAGCATACAGGCTATATGGTGAATGAATTTACAGATCACATGAACATCACATTTTCCTTTCAACAGGAAACAGCTCACCTGAAAACAACAGGAGTGGGTCCACAAAATTTATGAAGGGTTTTCTTTATGTTGTCACTCAGAGTAGATTCATCTAAGTACCAGGTGCTTTGATCTGATGCAGAAGGTCCAGCAGTGGGATCTTACAAATAAAAAACACATCTACAGTCTGCAAGCTTTGAAGATACTTGATGTGCCCAACCACAGAGTACACAGGCAGTGCTACCCAAGTTATTTCAACCATTGCTGAACACCATATTCAGAATTTTCTGAAAATGTTACCATAACATTACCTTCAACATGAACAACATTAAATTAGCAGAGTCTTCTTGACCAAGAGGGTAATGCAGCACTAAAATAGGAATGCTCTAACATCTCTGGTAATCAACTCTTAGGTAAGCTACCCAAATCCCAGCTAACCCAGTCTAATGTTGCAAATAGTCCAGTTTTAAGCAGGAACCTGGGAGATGTCCCCTCCAACCGATATTCCCAGGAGTCTGTATTTAATACCAAATGAAAAAAATAACCACTTTGTTAGGAAGTGCATTGCCTGATGCTCCCTTCCTCAGCAAGCTCTCTGAGGTGCCTGTTGTTATGCCATATATACATGTAGGTGCCAATACTCATCCCTTTTCCTCTATTTCCACCTGCAATCCAAGCTACCAGGTAACAAATCAGTTCAGAAACCTGAAGCAATGGAATCATTCTCTTCCTATCTGTGATACAGATTGCTGAAATAAGAAGTATAAAAATTACCTGGGGCTCCACACACTGTGTTGATGGCAGTAGACTGAGATGATAACAACTCATCCAGCAATCGCTGAGCTGTTGGAAGAATCTGAAAACAGGAAGCAAACTTTCAATATACACAGCATTTCTTATCCTTTTACACCCAGTCAAAGATCATGACTGAAGCACTCTGGCAATTTCAGGAGTATGGAATACAGAGCTCTACGTTTTCAGAAAGGACGACAGAGGGTGCTAAAGATCACACAACAGCCACCAGCTGTGACAGCTCTCTCACAGCCCACCAAAGGCTCACTTGCTGCAGTCACACCCTAATAAGTAAGCAAAAGCATCACAATTTATTAACTCCTCTCTCACTTCCTGAGGAACAGAAGCCTACAGAAAGTGATACTGCAACATTTTTGAGAGTTATGATACTGCTTAATTTTGAGAGTTAGGGAAGCCACTGCTGTCAAGGTCAAAAATTTCCTGCACTTTGAAAGATCTTTATTTCTTGTCCCTAAATAATGTCTCTAAAACCCAAGCAAACGGGAGCAGGGGAACAAACTATAAAATACATGTACACAATTTTTGGGGCAGACTTTAGCTTATTGACCATCCAGTTAGCAAACAGATTCAGTAGTAGATGAATGCAATTTCAGCACTAAACTAATCATAGCTTTTGGACCAGCTCAGAGTATAAGCAGAGAAGGTTCACACTGATTGTAGAATTCTATGTAGATATACCCTTAAAATGCTATTTTTGAAAGAAAAATGCACAGTAGAAAGAGTTTTTTCCCCCCACACTAAGTCTGAAAAGTGTAGATCCATTTAGCCTTTAGTATGTATGCACAGAACAGGCAAATTGTCAATATAATCCACATAATTAGGATTAAAATGACTTGCAACAGAATGTCTGATATCCCCCACTGCTCCATACAACAGCTGAGGTGAAAGATCACTCCTACTGTAAAGAAAAGCACATTCAGTACACCTGTATTTGCAAATACTACAGATACATCTCAAACAGATGGATGAAAACTCTTCATAAGGATATTTTTTGCATTTCAATAATCTAAAGAAACAGATTCAGCATTAAGCTATTTTGTACCGTTTTCCCACTACTACATATTTTAAGAAAATTCACAGGTCTCAGCAGTGTCACATCTTAAGGCTGAAGTACCAGGGACCTGCAGTGACTCTCCTTCAGTCTTTTATTTTTTAAGATATTCATGCTTAATTGGAATAAGAATACTGGCTTAATAAGGGGAAATAGCTCTTGAGCAAAGAACGAGGAAATTAATTCCATCAGCTTTTCCACGATTTTTCTAGATACAGAAAACACTTTCTACAGAGATTCTGAAAAGCCTTCCTACAAATCATCGTTCCCTCACACATGAAAGTAATTCAGCATTATAATACTGTACCATGTCACTCATAAACTGGAAATAAGGATAAAATAGAATCACATGTACAGCCCACTCTAATTCTACATCATGTGGTCAAAATATGGGGTCCCAAGGAATTAGAGTATCTACCCCCATCCAGAAATCTTCAAGACCAGGAATAAGACTGTTGAAAGAATTTGGGCCGTGCCTTGCCTTTTTAAAGGAATTACACAACATAGATTAAGATATCTCCCAATAAACCCCAGACTTTTCTGTTGGGCAGCATTCATCACATTATCTGGCAAAATTGCAATAATTAATTAACCAGATGTCCCTGATGCACAGCTGATACACGTGACCAAAGGAGAAATAAACCCTGCAGAGAGGAGCAGACAGACACAGAATACCTAAAAGCAAACATCCCAATTCACATGGCATTCAGGAAACAACTATTACCACTACTAGCCTTTCAAAGCCCTCCCCTACTAAGCACTAGACTGTACCATAAAGCTTAGTCTGAGGAGAGAAAAAAAGCTTTGCCTGTTATGTAATGCAGCAAGAAGCACACACTACTAGCACTCATCTCTCAGCAACAAAAAAGCAGTATTTTTTTTATCACTTTCATATTATACAATTCCTCTATTTCCTCTCATAAGAAGATTAGTATTTCTGTAGGAAATCTATAGGATGTTTTAGCAATAGAGTATCTTAGTGTCCCTAAGCACAGTACCATAAGACAAATTTTAGGCACATGCTTCCAGTAATCTAACTCCTGCTTAAGAGGAGTGTGTTCCAAATGCACTGCTGAAATGTGACAGATACCCATGCAGGTCAGTTTTTCCCAATCTCCTTTAGCTGAACCAGCATAAAAAAGTTGCCAAGCTCTTGTAATTTTAAAGCAGCCATTTCACAATCACTTGGGTATTCTTGTCTATTTTGTGCAAACATTTTAGGCAGATTATACAAATGACCTGACCCTGAACAACACACATATTTAAGGAATGAGAGAGCAGACTTAACCTTTGACTAAAAAATTTTCATGTCTATTATACTGAATGATTTTTATGAATCACTAAGAAGCTACACTGGGGGAAGTCAAAAGGTTACCAGTTAGATGCATTAGAAAGTGCCCACTTAAGTCACATACAATACTTTATCTGGGTAGTTCTCTCCACTTAGCTAACCAAACATACAAAAAAGAAACAAGCTGATTTGGGCAGACCTAAATTTTCAACAATCACGAACTGATTTATTGTGTTTGATCTTTCACAGGCTTAGTATATATTCATGCTCATATGGATAGCCACCACTCTTCTTTCTCCTTTTAAGACACTTCTAATCTTTCACCTGGCAATAGACAATTGTCAAATAATAGAATAGCAAAACTGAAAAGAGCTAGAACTGAATCCCTTCCCAGCAGCTCACAACTGAATAGCATAACTGGTTATTTTGCAACAAAATACATCACATAAATTGACCCAGAATAAAGATAACTGCATTTACCAAGTTGCCAGTCAGATGACGGTCCCCACTTACCTGTTGTGGAAGTTCACTGATTAGGTACTGAGCAAATTTTTGCAACTGGTCTCTTTGTAGCCGAGACAAAGACTCAGAAACAGGTGCTCGTAAGCACACTGCAGATGCCTGAAGGAAGAAAAGGAGACACAAACTACTATTAATGAAGCTGTGTCCACTGAATCGATGAAGTGTCACAAACACTTGCTGTGCTGATGCATACCATGCTTGGTCTTGATGGCCAATTATTTTTTCTCTGAAATGATGTAGTGTGTTGCAGATAAGATGCAAATAAGCTGTCAAGGCTTTATAAAAACTGGTTTTAAGGGTTTTTTTCAAGGAAACTGATGTAACAGCTGTGCTTAAGATCTGTTGTTGCTAGCAATTGCACAAATACTGGCAGAGACTTCACAAACAAACCTCTAAAACAGGACATTATCCCTTAAGATTCTGGCAAACGAACCAGCTCTGTGGGGGACTATTTCACAGAATCATCACCATCTCATTTATGTCTTTAGAGTATCTTAATTCAGTCTAAAAATCTCTTTCCATATCTTAAATCAGATTATAAAAAACCTCACCACTAGTTTCTTAACCTTTTTCACTCTACATAACAAAAATGTCCCACTCAAAATTTAACCCTACATAGTCAAGAGCAGTTTGATAATAAAAGACACTTCTGATATTGTCTTGCCTACATACAGCAATATGCCCTCGCTTGTAACTTGATAGTATCAGTTTATAAAAACACAAAAATACTTTCACTGTCACTTTTCAGGTGGAGAAAGGATTGGAAGCAAAAGAATGATTGTTATCGTACACAGGGTCCAAACTTGGAATGTAAATAATATAAATGACAATTTGTTTTTTAGCCTCATTCTCCATATCCACCTTTTAAAACTCAAACTAAGAATTCAAAGCAGAAACCGTTTTTTGCCAGCTCTCCAGTCCCAAGAACAGAAAGTATACCAATATTCCGATTATTTCACAAGAGTATAAATTTAAGCCAATTACACTTGTCCATTGTGAAATACTAACAAGCTTCAGCAGGTTATTAGAAATTATTAAAGAATCTAGAGTTCTTGCTCATGATGATGCTCATGATCATAAGCATGTTAACTGCAAAATGTTCTGTGACAGCAGAAAATCTTCTGTTCCTTTCAATCATCAAAACTTAATCCTTTGTTCTTCGCTTTGTTCTTCCTTTTGGGCAGCTTCTCAGCTTCCCAAAGCAGAGGAAATACAACTGTATGCAAGATCAAACCCTCAACTGGTGTATTTCATGTTGATTCTACACATTTTCAACTGAAGTTGGTTAGGATATAAAATGCCTACTTTTTGCTCTATGGAAGGCCACATAGAATAAAAGCAGTGAAAAAAAAACATTAACCTGACTGCTTGAAATCTTCAAGTCAAAATGACAGTTAGCTCAGTAAGTGTTAAAATGAACTGGTGAACATAAAGGCCAAGAGTGATCAAAATTACTTTCCTTCTGCACTCTGATCAAGCAACATAAAGAGTGAGCTTTCAAATCCTGTAATTACAAAGACTTTTAATAAAAGAAACTATTTGTGACCTTTCACTCTTTTCAGAGATGAAGAAATAATGAGCGATTTTAGCATTTAAACGAGAAATAGGAAGGGGCCATAAAGCACTCAGTGTCTACCCTTAGAAATCTGCACATTACCCAAGACAGTCTGCAGTTTAGGGCCTCAGACCATTCAGCCCGCAGACCACAACTGCGAGCAGACATTTGCACCATCTGTAACCAAAAGCAGTGTCAAGAACCATTTCCCTAAGGGGAGTGTGTGCTGCACAGAGCTGTACTGAGGAGCCACTGGGAGAAGAGGAGAGCAGAGCTGGGCTGGATGCCTACATTGTGGATGCGGAAGAGGCAGAGCGCCACGACGTGAGCGCACCACTTGGCCCCGGCTCCGCAGGTGCAGCTGCACGACGTGATCCGGCACCGGTCAAACATCACCGCCACGTTGTACGCGCCCTTGGGGGGCACCATCTGCGGGGGCACCACAGTGGCACTCAGATGGAAACCTGTGGAAATTCACAAGTCCAAAGTTACTCTTCAGGTATTTGGGGAAAAGGTTCAGCCACACAGAAATACAGGTATATGCTATTTAAAAACGGAAACAATATGTAATCCATGTAAGGATGGATGTGCATCTAGAGTCTCCAGTACCTCTTTCTTCCCAACCAACCATGCCTAAACATTAGCAGAGAAGCATAATGTGTTGTAAGAGACTCCAACATACCAGCTTTTAATACATTAAATAATTTGTCTTATTATTTAACAGAGAAAAGCGGAACTGGATAAAGTCATCCCTGAAAGCAGGCAGGTTTTTTTTTACAGGGTCAAAGACAGACTATACATACACATTTTAGGCGTAACCTCTGTGCTAACTCTGGCAGCAGTGCAGAATGGGCCAGGTGACTTGTTCGGAATTATTTCCAAGTTAATCAATTCTCACAATTTCACAGCCAACTAAAAAAGGCAGCACTTAACCTGAACACTTTCACTTTGTGGCTTCAGAAACTACCCATTTGTCACCAATTATGCACCTCCTGGCAATTTCGTTAATATCCCTTTTTTACAAATCATGACCTCAGAAAAAAATAAACAAAACCTCTTGCTTAGAATAGAACAATGGAAAGGAGAAATTTTAGAAATAACACTTGAATCTAGCCCCATTAATCAGTGACCATAAACAAATAAATTATGACAAAGGATTTTAAGAAGGCTTAGCTTCATGTAAACTCATGAACAGTGCTTATGAGTTGTATGCATTCATAATGCAGCCTCCTCTGGAGATGTTGCTCATCCAGAGGGATATGTATGATCAGGAAAAGGCCTGCTGGAGCATGGATCTTGTACCTGTGTCTTGAAGGTGCCTATCAGCAGTTAGTAACCCTCTAGAGCAATGAGTATCAGCCTCAGAACCTTTCTGCTAATCTGGAATTCAGTTTTCATGAAGCAGAGAAAGCACCAAGGCATCAAAGTCATAACCAAACTTCAGTCCTTAAGTCTACCGTAATTAAGTGGAAACGGCTTGGGACAGATAATAGCTTTTCCATCATGAGGACAAGGAAGTAGATTATAAATCCACATGACTAAGTTTTTATTATGATATCGTGAGATCATAAAAATTATCATAAAAGTGGTGTCCAGGAGTGCACATGACCTACTAAATTTATTCAATTTAAAATAATGTGCATAATTTCCTCCTCAAAATATAATCCCCATACCAATACAAATTTGCTCTTACCTTACTTAACCTTTCTATTTGTCCTGTTCACCACAATTCAAATCCTCTCCCTGATGTGAGTGATTATTTTGATTAGTACACATAATGCCACCCAAATTCTTCAGTCATTTCAGCAATTGGAACAGAATCAAAACAAAAGGCGGCATTCACACAAAATTACTGCACTGCTTATTACCAGATACAGTTCTAATTTATGTTTCACATTTGGTTAATACAACCCAAACACTTCAGCTAGTCCTTCTGTTATACACAACTCAGAGTAATGCTCTGACTTTCACATAAGCAAATTAAGCATTTCACGAGTCGGAATTGCAGCAATTCTGTTACACTGCAACAAAAGAAACACAAAAGGTGTTAGAGAAGACTAGATTCCAGCTAAAAGCTCTTACCAAGCCCCTACCCTGACATTCTTTGTATATGAAGACAGTTAAATGATAATGAAACAAGGGAAGAGCACTTACAAAACAAGAGAAAATTTGAGGAGTTTAACATGATATATCACAAGCTTCAAATCAATCTGTAGCTTGACAAACATGTGTGACACAATGCTAATTCAAGCAGTACTGCAGTTAATTATTTTGCAACACCAATCTTGCTGTACTTAAGAATTATTTGTGGGATGGCACAGGAAACTATATGAGGAAGGCAATCTGGATTATAAGTAATGGTTTCTTTTACCAGGAAAAATTAAAAGAATCACAGAATCTTAGAGGTTGGAAAAGACCCCTAGGATCATTTACCTAAGCATTAACCTGGCACTGCCACATTCACCACTAAATCATGTCCCCAAGCTCCACAATCATTGCAACATGGCTTTCTTCATAACTATTCTCTTACTGTTGTAGGGGCAGTTCTGATGCACACATCTCTGCTCACAGTTCTGGAACTTTGGGAAAAAAAGGGGAAAACGAGAGCTGAACAAAAGCTTTTACATAGAAGGCAATTTTGGACAGTTAGCTTGTTTTAAACCAAGACAGAAGAACCTCTAAAAAGAAGAGACACTATTGAAGGAGAAGCCAAGTTAGAATCCAAACTGAACCTGCTGCTGCCTTCCTCAGCTGTTAAAAAGAAACTAAGACTATGACAAAAAGAAGTCCCTGAAATCCACAACACACCTGTTTAAGAACAGCAGTAATGTATTCAGTGCAACAGTGCTGGTATGTGACTGCTACAAAGAGAATGGAGGGAGGAGGTCTACAAAAGCCAACTCCATGTGTATATACAGTAGAAAGCTGTAAAAAATTGGGGGTTTGGAATGTAGTGAAGAAAAACCCCCATGATTAGATAGAGTTCCTCTCCTAAGGACAAGGCAACCTTACTATTTAAACAAAGTTTCTTCCTTCCCTTCCACACACATAATCCTTTGTCAAGAATCACAGCTGCTTCTATGTGTACTTGAGAAATTTTTCCTCTGTATCACTCACCACCTCCTCTTTATCCCTACTCTTCTGCTCCCTCAAACACGGGTTTTGCATTAATATTCCCAGCCTTTGTTTGTGTACATTGCTTTACATCTCCTCACCTTTTTAATGTATTACTCATGGCTCCCTCAAACATGGGTTTTACATTATTCCCAGCCTTTGTTTGTGTACATTGCTTTACATCTCCTCACCTTTTTAATGTATTACTCAAACAAGTGCTAACCACAGTCTTTTACTGTCTATCAAATATTTTGCTCTTTTCCACTATCAAAGTCCCAGGAATTACTGAATTTCAGGAAGCTGCTTTTTAACTCATTTTCTCTGCCTCAAACATTTGGCTTCCTGAAGTTTCCTCAGATTCCTTAGAGGCCTCTCTCAGCATTTCAGTCACAACATTGGAAGATTATTAATGACCTCAAAAGTCAATTTAATCCTATTTAGCAAAATTTCCAAATCAATGCTGACATTCCAAAATTACTATCTGGTCTCAGTAACACTATGCGAGGTAGTTTTAACTCAATCTGACTTAAGTACAAAGAATCTCTTCACTTCTATTCCCAAGAATTGCTGCTATTTCTATCACAGTAAACACTGGATGAGGTAATACCCTTTTAGAAGCTTTACCCTGTATTCAGGTAACAGCTCATCAGTCTCTTGCAGTTTGTGTATATCAAAGACCATCTCTTTCTCTGTTTGGTCTCGCCAAACCTTTATAGTACCTTTTATTCACTTTCTGAGGGCTCTTTACCTAAATTTACTCATTTTCCTCATCACTGAGAGTTAAGTATTCCTAGTTCTAGTAACTAAACAGGCCCACGGAAGTCTCTATCCCTCATCACATGAAAATATAAGAAATTTCCTAAACTTCCTCCTTAACATTATACAGCTTTTTACATTATCATTTTTCTTATTAGAACAGGCTCAGTTCCCACATGCCAAGTGATAAGCTGATTCTGAGGCTCGCACTTGCAGAAAAAAAAATCTGCATGGGATTGACACGGCCCACCTTGACATACTAGTAGTACCTTTATTTTACATAATGCCTTCTGGTCAAACAGCTGCCACTGAAAAAGTTCTCAATATTCTTCTTTGCTTCAAAGGATTTAATGAAAAATCCAGAGTCCAATTCTTTGTGTAGATAAGATTAGCTTCTACCACCAAAAACCATAAAAAGAACATGATAGTAGGAGAAGCTATAAAACCCACTGTCCAACAAGAAGGATTTTCATCTGCCAAAATACTACATGAATAACTGTACAATTAATAAAATCTTTTGTTACAAGAATAAACTTTGCAAACTTCCTCTGTGCCACACAGGCACTTTAGGCATTGATCATTTGATCAGACAACTAGGAAGTCAAGTTCTCTTTAGCAATGAAGAATTTAAGCATTATAGAGAAACACGTATCCTATACAGTTTTTTTGGAAAATGCTAAGACACATCAGTCCATTTCACAGCTGAGCTGATTAAGGCCAAAATAAAACAGAGCATTTAGCTCAACACATTGTAAAGAAGACATTTGGCAGGGAGTTTCAGCTAAGATGCCAGACAAGCTTGTTTTGAGACATAGCACTGCTGTCCCATTGCAGATATGATTTTGGAACTCTGAACTACCTAGAAACGTGGAGCTGCACTTTCTTACCTATCTGGAGAGGGTCTTTGACAGCCCTCACCCGGAAGAGCTGCTCCCCTCGCTGGAACTCATCTGCACTGCCATTCGCCAAGCACGAGTACAACCTGCAAGACATCAACACAACGTGTCAGGATCACTCTGGTTTTGAGAAACTTCACAGTATTATCCTCTTTGCTGACATGGCTTTTGAAAAAACCTTGCTATCTTGAATACAAAGTCTAGGTCTCTCCTGCCATTTCAACATTACAATTCAACCACTAAAATCATTAGTCTCTTCCTAACTGGGTTTGTGTATAGCCACCAGCAGTTTTAGGAATTTCCACCTAAGGCTCTGAAATACAAATTCATTCATAGTCTAAAATTAAGCCTTCATATAGTATAGTATAGTTCAAGGTCTAATGTTAGCATGCCACAGTAAAAATTCCTTCTAGACTAATTATCTGCGTGCTCTTGTGAGGTTTTCTTCTATCTGTGCTCATCAGAATAATGATCATGTACAACCAGCTGGCTTGCTCTATTCCCTAGCAGGTGATCTTACATCAGCACTTCCGACACTACCTCCCCCGCTGATACCTGAACCTTAGACAAACATATCCAAGAACTTCCAGCAAGATTCTTTCTAAAAGAGTGTAGTATCACTACTTTGCAACAAAATTCTGAATACAGAGTTACATGGGTAGACCTCCTATAATATAAAAGCTTCAACAAAGCTTAGAAATAGATCTAAAAGCAGAAAATCTTTGACTATGTAGTCACATAGTTAATGTGGAAACATAAGAAATATAGTCATCTGACTATATCAACTCTGATCACTGATGTATTCAGCAAATTCTGGTTCTCCTATTTACACAAAAAAAAAGGACTGCACAGCACACTGAGCAAGCCCTCTTTGACAATTTCTGAACCCAGTTCAAGCTCTGACTGCAGCAACAGGTTCAAATTGGGAAGATGACTTTGTAAGACTAACATAAGGACAAAACTCCGCAAGCTAGCCTACTGTTAGCCAAATTAAAGGATGCATTTATTTTGTCATCCTTTACACAAAGAACCTAGACATCTCCATGGTTTTCCTGGCACATATACAAGGCAGTTCATCCCAGAACAAAACCCCATATCACAGCATATCCCACAGTAATCTATCCATGTATTACAAAAGGCACATAGGAGCCACAGAAGCATCAAACATACAGGACATCTAAAGGACAATGATTCTCCTCAAGTGAACAAAACCTTTTCTTAAACATCAGTGAAAAAGAAACAGTATTTATTACCTGATATCCTCCTCATTTTCTGGGAAACTCCAGAAGGCGATTCGAAGCTGCAGTTGTTCAGGCACTGGAGGATAAACTTTCTCCACCACCTCAAATGGAATGTGAAATGCAACCTGTTTTGCAGAGAGTTCCACCAATGGGATCACCAGCCCATCTAGAAAGACAAGAAACAAAACACAATTAGCCATTCAGAGAACAAAACTTGTGAGAGGCTAAAGAGGTCAAAGCAGGGAGCTCTTCCACCTCCTCTTTTATCTCACCACGTTGAAGACCATTTTTCATGGATAGTAAAAGTCAGCAGAGAAATCTTTTGAAGAGTTTTGAAGATTCTTTCATCTCCATGTTTGTTTTCAGCCACTCAGGGCACAGGCACAAATCCCAAAAAAACCAGCCCTTGGCCAAAAGAGCTACATCAGCCTAGCAGTTAGTGTCACGACAAAACTGACCTTGTTTAGAAAGACTTAAGGTAACCAAGTATTTTTCACACATTTCTGTTACAATGTGGCAGCTACATCCTGCGAATTCCAGCAGTCCACGCAAAGAATTAGTACAACATATATGCACAAGTAGCAATGGAATGGTTATCCAGGAATCTTAGTGCTCACTTTTTTGGACAATATTCAGTATTCATCTATTTACAAGGTTTTCATTTCAATTAGTACTTGTTGGTTTATTTCCTTCACCAACACCTTTTATATGATATCTGCCTTGATACTTCAAGTTCTTTAGAGAAGCAACAGGGAACTCATGTGTCAGTGCAGTACTGACTACACAAAGCTCATGAGAATCTTAAGGCAGTAAGAGCCTATAAAAATATAAATATATATAAATATATATTTATAGAAATATATTTAACTATCACCTTTCTACCAAACTAACTCCACTTTTTATGTTTTTACCAACAGATAAAGATTTCTTATCATCAGGCTATAGAACCCTCATGTTTCTTTGCTCTGACTCAGATTACACTTCATAAAAAATGCCAGATTTGTTGTATCTGCAAGTACATACATCCCTGCTTTACTGAGATCACCTCCTGACCCATCACACCATCAGCCTTGGTTCCCCATCTTCCAAGCCCTGATGTCAAACCCCTAATTAATTCAGATATTTGATGTTAAGTCTCTTTGCTTCCCTCACCAGCCACTAAAACACCACTGGAAGCCAGGATGTAAACCAACCTGGCCTTCAGCTTTCCCTCCACACCAGCCTTCAGACAGAGTATCAAAGGAAAACTTAAGCCCTGATGTCAGTAAGCACTTTCTCACCCTCTGCCTAGAGATGCCCTCCAGTCCCAGCAGTTGGGAAAGATAGGACAGGAGAGGGTTTTCAAAGTGCATGCACACAACAAAGCAGCCAACATCTCCCCCAGCACTGAGCAGACCCCACAAATGAAAGGACTGCATAAATACGGAAAAAAACACACAGTTTTCAAACATCCACATTTAGGATTTTTTTTTTTTGCAGTGCTTTCAAAGCACACAACAAAGCAGCCAACATCTCCCCCAGCACTGAGCAGACCCCACAAATGAAAGGACTGCATAAATACGGAAAAAAACACACAGTTTTCAAACATCCGCATTTAGGATTTTTTTTTTTTGCAGTGAAATTAGATTCCATAGTCACTATTCCCTTCTCCCAGAGTCAGTCTTTTACCATCAGGGTTGGTTCTTCACCACCAATGATTTTTACTCTATGTTATAGATCCAGTCTCTATTTTACAGTGCTATAATCCTTTTCACAAATGTGAGAGAAGCAGATTATAAAATGAGTGAAACTGGAAAAAGATGTGCCCCTTTCTCTACAGATAGCAGATAAACAAGCTTTTAGCAGAAAATCAATTTCATTTACACTTTTGACAACAGGTGTAAAAACAGGTGTAAAGCTTTCATCAAGTCACTAAAAAATGTACTGCTTTTAATTAGTCGCTAAAAAGTATACTGTTTCTAATTAGTGCAACATAGTCAAATTAATATAAATCCTGCTGCTACAGTAGTAGTAGATACCACAGAAAGTCCAAATTGAGGCACTTTCATACTTGAAATTACTCTGAGCAATGAGAGGCATTTTGCATGGTTTAAAATGCATTTCTTCTGTAGAGGTAACCTATTCAGTTACTTCACTGCACAATACTAGAAAAGAGGTAACACCTAAACAACCTCTACAAGGTAAAAGGCTCAAAACCTAACTTCAGTAGTGACTGAAACACCTGTACATTCTTTTGAGAGCTGCAAGCCTTCAGCCTAGATGGTATTCCTTTTCATAAAGATCTGGTGCTAGGTATGAAGGTTAGACTAGAAATACTACAACATGAGACCTCATCTGCTCCAGCACAAGTCAGCCAGCTTGACTTTAATAAGTGTACAAAGTGAAGTAAGGCAAGGCTGACTTTGCACTGAACCCATTAACTGATTCATCAGCTGTACTGTGTTAGCAGTGATGAGCAGAAGACAGGTGGCCAATTATGTAGCACAACTCAGAGCACACAGCTGAAACATCTTGGGAATAAGGCAAAAACAGTAAAACCTGGAGGGGAAAAAACAACCATCTTACTTGTAAGATCATGTACCATTCTAAAGTACAGAATTTTCAATAAGGAAAAAGAGAGATGGAAAAAATAGTAGAAATTAACTGAAAAGTAGAAAACAATTTGTTAATCACACTCCAAGGCTGAGTGAATTCACAACAGCTACCCTGGCACACATGTAAATGCCAAAGTTAGGAAGTTAAACTGCCCTAAGTTTAGTCCTGTGTAGCCAAGGTGAGATGACCCTACCAGCCATATGGCTCAGAGCAGTATTAGACGGTCTTTTCCCTTCTTCCTCCTGTAAAGTCAGCTGGACAGTCCTACTTTGGTGCTAAAACTAGACTTCAAATACTCTCATCTGAGTCCCAAACAAAGAGAGATCTATTAAAGAAGTTTACTTCTAGATACACAAAATTTGGGTTGGTGGCTTTATACCTGCTTGTAGGTAGATTCATACCCACCCATATCAAGAGGTATTATCAATAAAATAGACAAAAGGTACTATCAGGTTCTATAATAAATATTTTTAGCAAAAAAGAAAAAAGGAAGTCTACTAAAAAAGTAAAGGGCAAAGCACCACAGCTTCTACTCAAAGCAAAAATAAGTATAGGAAGGAAGACTGCAAATTTAGTATTAAAAAAAATTAAACAGCAGTGAAGTCAAATTCTTGAGATAAAACGATCCAAGGGAGAAGATAACTAAATTGTGGAGCAAAACTAGCAAGAATCACTATTTGCTCTTGGAAGCAGACATACCCCAAACAGAAGAAAAAGCACATTTCAACTATTGAAAGAATAGAGTCACAAGTAAAGCATAAGCAACCTGAAACTCTTCTCACAAGCTAAATGACTAAGAAAACCTAACTAAAATGCAAGATCAAGCATATCTGAGCCATTCTGAATAAATCACACCTCATTATTTACCACCACACAACAGGGAGCTTTGATGAGGACTATCCTGCCCTTTTTGCTACTATTTTACATGAATTACAGGTTTGATGTTTGTAGTCATTTTGTAAAAGCTGAAACTTTAGCACAGATGTAATTATTCCTGCTGGAACAACAACAACAAAACACCTGACCCCAAAACAGCCAACACAAGCTGTGCACACAAACCTGCATTTTCACCAGCAGAACAACTTCTGTGCCAGCAGGACTTACCACACAGAGATGAATGTGTAGCAGTTGCTTAACCTTTCCAGCTAGAGAGTAGGCTGTAATAAGGTGCAGCCAACAATTACTCATAAAAACAGATCACGTTCAAAATGATGTAGCAGTATTCCTTCAGCACAGTAAACAGAAAACCAGAAGAAACAGCTGGAATAATCAGCAGAACAGGGACCATGAGAAAGCCAAAGAGCTATTAAAATACAATAAAAAAAAAAACAAAAAACAACTGGGCTAAACACTGAATGTATCTGTTATCAGGTTATTTCCATTCAGTTACTTTCATTTGATACACATTCTAAAAGTAAACTACATATACAAGTGAATGAATAGAAATGCAAGTGAACAAAACTCACAGCAAGAGATAAGACCCAGTACAAAGACAGGATACATTGCTTTCCCTAACTTTAGACAAATGGTATCTTAGACTACATTATCTTTTGAGAGATGAGTCTACAAGCTTTGATTTTACAGCAATCCCTGGTCCCCATCTGAAGTTTCGCCTCACCCATCTCACTGGCTTCACTCCTAAACGTGACAGAGTAACAAAGTAATATAACTACACACAGAACAAGAAGATGAAGAAAATTAAGGAAAATTAAGTGAATCGCCTGTGATATCAAAAGCTAGTGAGAACAGTAAAGCTAAGAGGAAATACACAGAGTTCAGTCTTGACTGGTGAAGGACATATGGGAGGGTGTTACAAAATCTGGTTTACAAATCTCATTTTAAAAATAGTAAATAACACATTGCTTTTTACAGGATTTCCCATGTACAAACATAAAACCGTTGCTGTAGAATGCATGTACAGGATTTCTGCTTGTTTAATTTAACTACCTGTCAGTAAAACGCCCCTTGGATTAAGTCAGTGATACACTGTCTCTCTGATATCACTTAAAACCAAAATGTACTGAGAATTCTCAAACAGGCAAGCAAAGGAAGCATTGCATTTAATCATAACATACATAAACCAACTCTTTAAAAATATTTGGTTTTTTACTGCTTTCTGTACTGTAAATTCCTTTCTAAAATTCTGCTGTTGGTTTTAGTTTATTCTCTTGCTTTTTTTTTTCTAGAAATTTATTCTGAGTTGATGTCTTTAAGAACTAGATGCCAGAGAAACACAGTCCTTCAGGCTCAGACCTGGCAAGAAATATCAGAAAACATCACCTTTGTCTTTAACTCTGTAATAGTTGAGGGTGAATGCTGTGAATGTATTTTTTAAACAGTTTACCAAGGTGAACATTGCAAAATGAAACATAAGCCTTTTAATTAAAGATATACTCGTTATTAATAAATTACTTCCAAGGCATTTAGGCCATTCATACTTCTTTTTCTTCTTCCATTTTACCATATAATCAACATCTTATAAAAAGCAACATGTCTATTAAAAATAGACAAAATCCATCTCTGAACTGCAGATAAGCTACACAGTATGTACCAGAAGCATTTTGCAAAAGT